TTGGAATGAATCTTTAAGCATCGGTGTTTATGAATGGTTCCATTCAGGATTTGAGACTACCAACATCTGGTATAATTCCCTCTGAGAACTTGCTTACCATCTCGTGCAGAATCCCATGTTAACGACGCGTTACAGAAATCACTTACAACGCCGCACAGTTTGAAATAAACTCTATTGTGATTATAATAATTTATTATAAATAATTTTTAAATTTTAAAATGTGCAAAAAATTCAATTTAGAAAAAAATGCACAAAGCTTATATTACATATTTTAATATTTCATATTAAAAAAAGAAAGATTACAGCCGTAAGTTGTTAATGTAATATCGAAATAAAGAAAATTATTCTTCTAATTCACTTCAATCAAATCACAATAATGTCATTTATTATTTCTGAGATGATTACTGAATTTGCTATGAAAATAAATTTAAAAAAAGTTAGTATAAATTAAGCAATTTTTAATTTCATAAATTTTATCTTTAATCTTGTGATTTTTATTACAATAATCTATCAGGCTATTTTATTACACACCTTGAAAATGTCAAGTAAGAATGATTGCCTTATTTCGTCTAGTTGTCTGGAAATTTTCGCGGCGAAGAGAGGCAGTATATAAGGGGAGTTATAAAGTAGCGCAATATGTTGTTGTTGTTCCAACAACGTACATCCAGTGAATCGTGAGATGAGAGCAAACGTTTGCACTTATAGTCCTGGGGGAAACAGCAACAGTATCTGCTATGAACAACTTTGTCGAAAGAATCCAACACGTACTTTCAGCATCGTAATTACAGTCGACGCGATTCATACAGCGGTTTCGAGGTCCCGGGGGAAAGTTTGCTCCGATGCGGTGAGACGAGAATAAGAAGCAGTGGCAAGCCCTTGAACAAACGAGACGACTCACAACCGCTGAGAGGTCAAAGAGTACATCTGCTCTCTCAACAAGAGTTGTACAAAGATGTGGAAAGAAGAAAAGCAACAATGCTTTTCTCTCTACCAGTTTCTTTGAGAGACAGGTCAAGGATCTTCATAAGGACCTCCTCATTCGACAATCAGGAAGTTGTCAAAAGTTTGTCAGACATAAAATACACATCGAGAGAAGAGTGAATCTCAACAAAAAAGTAAACATTTAATCTCATTTTGTTTACGATATAAAATTTTCTCTAAAATTCCAAAAAATTAATTTTAAAAGATGCTTCATAATTTATAACTCATTGTCAGTCTTTCTGATTGTGAAAATGCAAAATTAACGAGGGAAACAACGCTCTGTAAACCGAAAACTCTCCGCATAATCTTATAAACTCGTATCCCTATAGCAGCTCTCACGTGGCTTATTGCGGAAATCCCAAACCAGTTCGCGCGTAATGTCAGCTTCGGATTAGACGTGTCACGACTTTGTATCGAGCTGATGCGAAGCTCTTGATTAAATATGGGACAATGCACCAATCTCGCGGGAAGCTGCGGATCTTTCACATACGTAGGAGGAGGGGGAGAGAGAGAGAGAGAGAGAGAGAGAGCTTAGCGGAAGGTCGACAGCGCGAAACCTCTGGTTTATTTTGAATCGATCGCGTTGCGCGAGGCTCGAGGGTGCTCGGGCTAATTCGGCTCGCATCGGCGATTCAAAACTGTTCGATTCGCAAAGTATCCATCGTCCGATAAACACCGCCGCGAGGCTCTTCTTCTCCCCTTCTCTTTCACTCTCCCTTTCCGCGAGATCGACCCTTTCGCGTATAAACGCGGTCAGAGATGCGCGGAGGGTGGCATTGCGTCTCTACCAAGAAATTTGGATCTCTCGATCAATACTGCGTCTTCTCTGCGACAGCATCAACCGAGAGAACCGTTTAAAAATGTTATCTTGTTCTTTTTCTTCTAAAAGTAAAACTTAAAAAAATAGTTGCTCTAGTAGAGTCTTATTATAAATAATTTTATCTCGGCAGTTATGTGTAGAAAAATGCTAATAAATGATAAGTACATGCTCGTATCATCCGGTAAAAAATAAAGGTAAAAGATAAAGAATCTTTAACAATCTTCACATTCACGGAAAGAGCTTCATTATGCGGAATAAAAGACAGACTGGTTCATCGTGGAAGCAAAATAGCCGTAGCCGATTACTCCGTTCCATTCTTAGGAAACTCAGAAAACGACCAACTAGAAAAGACCATGCCGCGAAGAACATCCTAAGGGAATCCAATCAGAACGGGTAGCGTCTAACCCCCGCCGACCCTCTCTTACAAATCTCGGGCACCTCCGTGCTCAACGAATTCCGGGCAAGATTTACACCAGTTTCACGAAGAATTCCTCTTTATTGAGTACAAACTGTCAGGGCAAAGGCGAAGAGGATTTTATTACCTCGAACCTTATTGGCGCTAACCTCTATCTTAAAAATTCAACATACACGATACAATTACATTATTCAGGTGAACAATCCATACGATTTAATCCTTATAAATGTACAGCATTAAAACACGTGAAAAATTCATATTCCATGCGAGCAGCAAAAGAAAGTATTGCGAAAACCGATAATATTTCAGGATTAACACAGATACGAGCGAAGCAAAAAATTGGAGGCTCTTCGGTGTGTACATTAGAGTAAATCAATTCACCGAATTTTTCCAGCCAAAATAAATACGTGAAATAATTTTTAACATTTATATCGCGCAACAATTTTGTCCAATTTTCTGATCGATTCACCCTCGTTCTGGATAATGTTTCCCACCCAGGCGGTGAGCTGGTACTCACGACTCAGCATCCTGAATCCATATTTCCAGATTGTATTTCGTGACAACGACGTTCTCCGTACATTGCCACCGAATTGCTGGAAGTCACTGCGCCGATCGATAACCCACGAAAGATTTGATACACGACAATGATGCAAAATCGACATTATAGAAATAAAGGATCGCACGAAATACAATTACGAAATAAAACTGTATATATATATATATATATATATATATATATAAAATCTAATCTCGTAACCCCTGATCCTGTATAAAAATGTTATCTTTCGTAATATTCAAGAAACAATACCGAACGAAAGAAATACGAAACGTGCAAATATTTGATTTCGGTACAAAAAGACATAAAAAGAAAAAAGATATATGTGTATAGAATATATTTCAACACGTAATATTTATGCAAGTATAAAATACACATGTAGAAAGGATTGAATTACGTCAACTATATTTATGTAAGACATCTATAGTCCATTATTGACGTAGCATCGCAAACATCGAGAGAACGTAGAATAATCTGAAATGCAACCGAGCGGATAATATCCCATACATAAGATCATTTTTCTTATCAAAGAATAAATACAATAACGTTCGTTCGACGTGAATATATACGCGCGTTGATAAATATAAGAATGCATTATGAAATATGTTACTTAAAAACGCGATGTGTATTTTCCTTAATCAAGAATTTTTCTCATGCAGCATCATTGCCAAGTGTCCACCGTGTGCAACAATCATAATCCAAAATCAATGCACCGCTGTTTCAATGCGACTTTAACGCCCCGTGACTGTGGTGTTACGACGACAATGGACGGTGTAATCCCTGATTTTGAGCTTAGAGAAATCGTCAATTTAGTACGTTCTCGCGCGTATAAACCGAGCGAAACTATCCGCCTCCAATTTTCCGCCTGTTAAAAGCACGTAAGTGATCACGCCGCGCTCGACAAGGGTGGAAAAAAAAAGAAAAAAGAAAAAGAAAGGAAAGAAACGATTGTGTACGGCTTCTTTTATTGCAGACTTTTATCGAGACGAGGCAAACGAGTTCGCTTGGGGGAAAGAGAGAGAGAGAGAGAGAAAGAAAGAGAGGCGAGAGGTTCCGCACTCTTTTCACAGTAGTAGTGATGTGTGATCGGTCCGACAGGTAGTCCCGGTGGTCCGTCCGTGTCCTTCGGCGCGCTGGTGGCGCGACCCCGAGTGTATCGAATCGAAGATCTTCGCAGATTTTCGGAGAGCTTCGTTCACCCACGAATGGGCTCCCGCGGGTTCTCCCGGGCGCTCGGCACCGTCGGCTCAGTGTATTGCGCGGCAGCCTGGACCGCGGGCGGCCCGCAGCCTCCGGCCGACGCGTCGACGCGGTGCTTGCGTGCCTTCGAGAACGCACACGAGAACGCGCTCGCTCAAACGTGCGCCCTTCTGCGTGTTTTGGAACGCACACACAGCATCTGCGTCGCCAGGAGCGCGCGCGCGGCACATGGTCCTCTCGTGTTCGATTCCATCCCCGTCGATTCCTAATATATGCGAGATCATCTCTCCCCGTACGAGCTGCTCCGATCAGTAGATCACGAGCGCGGCACGCAATAGCGTAGGCAGGGGGTAGCGCGAGGGATAAGGGGTTGTCATGATCGGCCTTGAGATCTACGCGCGCCACGTAATTATTAGCTGACTGGCGACCGCTCTCGAAAATCGAATATGACGTCCGGAAGCAGCAGCAGTAGCTGCGGTACCAGAGAAGACTCGACATTGCGGTTGACACGCAGTGCGACACCGTCGAAATTCTAGCACAAGGTGCTTAAGAAATAGATTCATCACCGATCGGAGTCATAATCGATCGATCGAGCAGGCAAAGACAGCGAGGTCGGATCGCGTGAAATTGTGCTTCTGCAAAGTGGGTCGAAGCCGCGAACGCGTTTACTCTCGCACCACGAGAAGGAGGAGAACCAACCGTACCATTTCCCTCAGTGGATGAGACCCGCGGGATATTTGCAGCGGATCGAGCGTAGTTATGCGCGCGCGCGTGTATCGTACGCGTGCATCTGTACACGCGTGTCCACGACGCGTAACGCGTAACGCGGACCAATCTACGTTACGATACAACGCGGTTCTTTGCTCTCAATAGCTAAAAGTGAGTAGTACTACACGGTGTTTGTGCGGCGGAAGGGGAACTCGAGACTGCGGAAAACTGTGAGAGGGTGCAAGGAAGAAGGGGTGTCGAAAGGGAGAAAGAGAGAGAGACGGAGAGAGGAATTACTCGGGAGAGAAGTGGAAAGAGAGAGAGAGAGAGAGAGAGAGAGAGAGGCAGACAGAGAGGAGCTGGAGAGAGAGAGTAATGATCGTGACGACGGTCGTGCAGACAAATGAACACCTCGGCACAGCGTTTGGGATATTCCAAGTAAGTAGCTATGCGCAATGCCGAGTTGCATTATACTGCGGAAACGTTCCCTTTGATATATCTGCGTAGTTGCGAGCACTAACATTTCGGGAACGAAATTAGTTTTCCGCCTTGGGGACGAAGGATGCCGTAAGAAAATTGGAAGCTGCTCGAGAATTCGAGAAGCTCGACCACAACAAGTCTTTTCAACCGAATCAAAAATAGCAGGGAGATCGATACGTCTCGTCTGTCCGGCATATCAAGTACGTTGGCAAAAGTTGGCACGAGAAAACTTTGAAAGCAAAATTTTTCGGAAGAGCTTTTCGTTTTTCTTTTATTTAAACTCTGTCACCGCGCGCCGTGACTTTTCCGTTTTTCTTTCTTTTTTCCTTTTTTTCGGAGCATAGCTTTACACTCGGAGAATTTTATTGCCACTCATTTTTCAAGCCTGGATCGTCGATAGGATCATGGGAACTGGTAATGGATGCATGCATGCTGCCTAAGCCAGCACATTTGGCGCGAAATCCAACACACGTTTGGCATCGAACCGACCGATTCATTTTGGCCCTGCGTATACATCGTGACTCGTGACTCGTGCTTTAACGATAGCTTTCACGTCGAGATCCGAAAAGAAATTCGTTTAGCGATGATAGAAAAAAAGAGAAAACTCCTGACCTGGCGTTTAACGTTGGTACATTAATCGTCGCGCTGAAACGAGTCTGCTTTAATTTATTCAATAAGTTTGAACTGGGAGGTATTTAATTGCTCGACGCGCAACAATTGTTCAGCGTATAATTCGAAAAAGTTTTTCTATTTTACTTTAAAATTGCATTTGGTGGCGACGTCGGCAGCGCTGTCGATACGGTTGAAGGATATGACCTCGAGATTCAAGTCGACCCATTTTTCACGATTTCAAAAAAAAGACCGTCTGTGCTGTCTACAAAAAAAATACATATTTATCTTCACATACAGACCTTTATTCGTATATATTATCGACACCTCTCTATATTTTATCCAAATTTTGTTCAAACAACTTCAACATACTTCTTTTTTAATAACTAAAATATCACATGATACTTTTATTAATAAGTACGCGCTTTCAAATTTTTTCATTAGAATAAATTTCGAGAGATCGCACATTCCTCAATTTTTGCCATTAATTAATGAGCTATCTCTGTAAAGGTCAGGACGTCGATCAATCTTCACAGATCATGCCGTGTGGTGTGCAATATACCGTGAGATGGATTACATTCCACTCAAAATTTGTAGTACTTCTTCGTGGTGGATCGTGGAACCATATCGATGTGTATAACATTAGCATTTATATAGGCGCACAAGCTTCCGCACGCGCGAGTGACTTGGAAGCGAAATCTGAGCGACGCGAGATCCGAGACGAGAACGAGAGAAGTGTCGAGAGCAGAAACGAGAGATCAAGAAAACAGGATTAAAGGTGGCGACAGCAAATTTCACATAGTTGGGAACAAGTCAACATATTTTTCAGAGTTATCCTGGAATCAATGTTGTCGCGCCGTCGCGACACATATCGCGCTTAAGAAGATGAGGAAAAGATACCGACAACTTTCAAGACACGTATCCCATGTCGGAAAGTTGCATACGAAAATTTGATTTCGCTCGGTATACATCATCGACCTATCATCAGAGAGACGCAGTGACAATTTTCACGCATGTAAATTCCTCGAGGAATCTTTTTTTTTTTTATGAAACTCGAGGCGGAAAGGGACTGTAGCGCAGCTGTAATTTTGCCAAAGATACATCGTCCACGTCGGGAGCGATATACAACATTTATATTAGCATTTATATAAGGCTAGAGTAACTACGCGCTTTTCCATGAGCCTCTACGTGCTCGACGCAAAAAAAAAACAAGAAAGAAAAACGAGAACGAGGGTAAAATCTACACCGTAAAAGATAAGCGCTTCTCTGCCTTCTCTTGCGGCTTGTAGCGACGAATCGTGCAGGTGCTTTTCGCAGGCTCAGAAAATTAAACAACGCGGACTTACGTATTCTTAACGCTCAACGAGGGATGCATAAAGCTAGAAATATTTTACGTAGTCCAAGGGGTTAGACAAGTACGAAATTAGGAATATTTATTCAAGTAACGGTGGAGCGATATAACTTTCTGCGGATTCTACCAACTTGCTCGGCGTATAGGAACAAAGGTTAGTCGTGGTTAGAAGAGGGAAGCAAGGATCAGAGAGAAAGGGGAAAACGAGGGCGTGAGGAGAAAACGCGAGCAAGCTGTAAAGATATAAAAGACTGGAGAAACGCGGGAGTTAGGTAGAAATATAACAGAGGCGAGAGCGCACAATTAAGCGTCCGTCAGACCGCGACCAAAGTTCCCCCGGGAAGAGATTATCGGCTAATTATCGGTATCTAAAAGGCGTTCCTGAAATTACAGTCGCGCGCTGGATTACCGCCGTAGTTTACCCTCGAGATAGCAGTAGCAGGGGGTGGCTGGGCGCTCTCGAACGGCGAGAACGTGCGAGCGAACGAACGAGCGTGCGTGCCGAGCGAGCGTACGTGCGTGATATTTTCGGCGCGGGAAGTGTTGCATGCACGTGTCATGCATTATATTAACAGACAGAGAAGCGCGGAAACGCGGTTGGATACACAGCAGCAGCGGCTTCGTGTGTTTCGCTCATCCCTCGCAGGGATGTAGAGATGGATAGATGTAGACGACGAGAGATTCAGAGACGCGCGAGTTACAGAAAGGGTTTTGTGTCGCGCCGCGAGGCGTGTTACTTCATCGCTCGCGTCAAAGGCAATCATATCACCCCCATCCTCTTTCTCTCTCTCTCTCTCGTACTCTCTTACCCAATTCCATTTTCCTGGCATGGTACTTTGACAATCGCGAACACATCACGCGGGCGTTTGCGGCGAATGTAACGCGAATGTCTACATCTCCGCAATTTCGCACCGTGAAATCGTTGACACGCTCGTAAAGCGGGTTTCCACTTTCTCGCCTGTTTCCATTCCTTTCCATTTGATCAGACACAGGGCAACGACGCGAGGTCGTCGTTCTTTCGGAAGAGAATGTCGCCGATTCGGCCAGTGCCGTAGCATTCTCGTAAAAAAGCTCGTAAAGAAAAAAAAGTTTCGGACGTTTCGTTGCCGAGAAGAGAACCGCGGAAAATTTCTAGCGCATATTTCATCCCCAGAAAGCATATTTTATCAGGGATGACTGTAAGTTATTCGAAAGTTCGTCTGGCAAGTTTTATCGTTTGAAAAATAAATCGTAAAAGACAAATCCGCGTCTCCCTCCCTCCGTTTCTTTTTATCTCTCTCTCTCTCTCTCTCTCTCTCTCTCTCTCTCTCTCTTTCGTTTAATTCGACGCGATTTCCAGCGTGTAAACGAGAATTTGAGGTAAGAGTTGCGAAAGAGTGTGCGTGGAAAAAAATTGTATTGCTTCGACAAACTTCGAAACTGAGGAAATAATTTGTACTTTGCCTCTTTGGCTTATATATATATATATATATATAAATTATATAAATTATATATATATATATATATATATATATATATATACAGAACATCGAAGAAGGGCAAAACTCCATTACCGCAATCAATTAAAAGCATCAGCGAGACGCTCCTGAGATGATATCGACGGCTTCTCCTATGGTCTCTTCTTCCCGTGGATTCTCGATTCCCTTCGCCTTTTCGAGATCTACCATCGTGCTCGAATTATCGGCTTCAGGACTTATCCTTTTTCTTTCCCATTTTCCCCGACAAGATTATCGAGAGGCGCGAGAGAGGATATTTTCTGAAAAACAACCGCATGCTTTCTCTCTCTCTCTCTCTTTGTTTCTTTCTCTGTTCTTGCTATCCGCTTAGTTTACTTCATTGGCTTCCGGTTGGCTATCAGTCCTCTAAATCAAATAACATAATTTCGCCAAGGCTACCGTCGGTAAGAGGACCTATCCCTTTTCCTCGGTCCTGGCGAAATCCCGCGGTCGAATTTATGGCAGACTCCGTGGCCGTGACACTCACCTACACGCATCCTACACAAAGGTGTGCAAGGAACCTACTCACACCGGTCCACACATGAGTATAGCAATGACATAGCGGGAATGAAATAAAGTAACACCCATGCTACTGGCGGGGATGGCCGTACTGCTACGACTTGTAGTTGCGATAAATTTTCTCCGGCTTTAACGACACCGTGCGCGACCACAGAACGGTATTTCCAATCCTTTATACAAGTAACAGAAAAGCGACAATGGAAGAATAGTGATAAATCAAGATGACATACGCTAGACAACGAGCAATGAGGAATTTCGACCAAAGATGCTGAGTTTGCGCGTCTAACAAAATAGTATGAGAAACTTAACTCGTTTATTTACAGCTTGCCCATTACAGGGAGCAACAAAAGCCTTTTAAAGCGAACTCCGTAACTTGAAATTAAATTATATAATGAATCGACGGCCCACATCGATATAAAACGATATATTCTCGAGCTTTTAGAAATAATGAAAAATTTGGAACTAAAAGTGATAAATTATCGCGTTTATCCAGCGAGAAAACGATTTTTTATTTTACATGTCAATATTGATATTAAAACCTCATTTCTTCGTTGATTTTTCATGTCATAATAGTGACTCGTGATTGGCTGCAAAAATTGCAGTCTTGCTTGCAAAAATAGAGATGCAATATGCCAAGCTTTCGGAAAAATCTCGTGGTAGCGAAAGCGAAGTTGTAACACATTCGTAATTAAATTCCGGAATGAATTGCATTCCACGAGGACAGATATTTTCAATCTTTTCGGAACAAGAGACAATTCAAAATTCGAGAATGATAGTGGTTCTGCTCGTGTTCAATAAACAAATATTTTTAATTTTCGACAGAGGAGAGCAACGATACATCGATATGGATATTGATACGAAACACTTCTCTGGCAAACATAATTATTATCTTTGCATAAATCCATCGTACGAGTAAACGAATACATACTTTGTTTGCGAAAAAGATTGCAATACATCGTGTTTTTCAAAATAAAAAAAAATAGAACGCGAAAACAAATGTGAACAAACTGGTAGCGGGTTCGTAATTCAATTTCAAAATCTAGTTTGGACATTCCATTGGAATGTAAAATGACAATTTGAATCTTTTATTACTAAAAAAAAATACGAAATAATGTATTTGTGGGATAAACAAAGATTTACAATTTGATAGAATAAAAGATAGGACTAATAAAAAAATCGCATTTTTTGCAGTTAATTAACTACCGTTAATTATGGCAAGAAAATTTAAATTTTTCATTTAAATGCGATATATCGCGTGATAAAGCGCCCTTAGCAAAAGAATCCCGAGGGTGAGTGTGAAAGCGAGATTTTAACGGGCTTGTAATGAAAAGCCAAAGTGGATTACGGTTCACTCCTCTGACATATAGTCATCTACCATTTTTTATAAGCTCCGCAAGAGTTTAATATCGAAATGGGAACAATTGTGCGAACGTTTCGACAAAGAGATGATTTTACACTGCAGTAATAAAAATCACTTTTTTCACCATTATCGTTCTCACGGTTCTATAAATTTGCCTGCCGTGAACAAGTTCAAATCTTGACTCGTAAAAAGAGATTTCTCTTTCCTCGGATGCAATTTACTCCGCCTGCCGAAGAGAAAGCGAATTTGTAACAGCCTCGTAATTAAATTACGAAATGGATTGCTGACCGTCTCTTCGGTCGGTGGCGTTACGACTACATTTTGCGCTCCGTGCTCATCTCTCTGTGTAAGAGCTTTTACATTCACATTGCGCGATATCTAGAGGATATGGACGAGAGAGCGTGAAAAGATCTCCATTATAATCTCGATAACCCCGTGCAGTAACGTGCACAACGGTGTTACCGGTTATCCAATTTTTAGGATTAACCGAAGGGGATGAAAAGCACGGGGGTGAGATCGTCGTTAGAGCGGATTCCCTAGAAATCGGTCCCGTCGCGGTTACACACTTCGTTTAGAGTGAACTATCCGGGATCGTTTTATCCGGTCAGTTCGCTGTCCCTGTAGTCCGATGGCGCGTATCGGCCAAGTGCCGCAATAAAGGGAATTTGCGGGTACGCCGGGCATTAACGATGTAGAGAAAGGGAAAGAGAGAGAGAGAGAGAGAGAGAGAGAGAGACACGCAGAATCGAAGTCAGCGTCGCGGTTGTCGCTAACGCGGCTATTTCCACGGCTGTTTCGCGGTAATTCTGCGAGCCGAACGTGCGAGCTGGGCGGCAGCCTAGGTGGCTATAATTTCGCGAGTTAAAGTCCCAAGGATCGAGGGTTTGGGATCTGTGCACCGAGCGCGACAAGTTCGGCCGATGCCGGGCGAGGAGGACACTTTCGGCGGTAAACTTCGCTCGTATATTACGCGAACTCCACGGTAATTGATTTTGCACAATCGCGTTAAACTGGAAGTGGGTTTCAGACACCGGTATCGCCGCCGCCGCCGCCGCCGCCACCGCCGAGCTATATTCATCCAGCGCGAGCGTGGGTGGGCTGTAATGTTGCGCCCATTACTACTGCTACTCATCCCTTTTTCCCCGAATCCAGACGATCCGAACTTTTTCCGATAATTATCGTCGTTTCGCCTCGCGCAAACTGCAACTTTACGTTGATACTGTCATAAGCATCGTACTGGTTAGCGATAGTCACGATGGCCGAGTACTGAAGTACGTGTAGTTGCAAGAGTAACTACGGGCAGTAATGGCGAATCTCTGTGTATATTCTGTAAATTACTTGCGGCGTAACAGATATACGCCCTATCGACACTCGGCTTTTCGTTTAATTTACACTACCCCAAGTTGATAATTGCCATCATTAATCTTTCATCGACGATAGTGCGCTTTTTGTAAGTTGCTCCGATTTAACAAAGAACACAAACGGGCGTAAGTTCTACCCTCGCGATTGGCGTAGTTTTTATTCTTTTAACCGCGAGTGGTGATCGATAATTATCGCCGTTGGCGGTACGATGATATTCGACCGTTGTTTTTTGATAAAAAAAAAATAAAAAATAATAAAAAAAGAATTATAAAGAGCGAGTTAAAAAACTACATTCGCGAAACACTGGTTGGTAGTAAATTAACTCGTGTGCGCGCGACGTACATCTTTATTCATTATATTTGACTAGCCATAAAATATAATTTATCGTCTCGTTCTTTCAAAGCTACTCTCGGCCGAGAATCGACCTGGAATTTTATTACTAACTTATACTCTGCATAACCATTCATTATGTAATTTTAGCAAATTGATTCAAGGCGCGTTTATTAAGATATATAAATTTGTTATAGAATTAATTTTACGCTTTAAAGAACTCCTCTTTTTTATCCTCTATTTTCTGAGAGAAGAACAAAGTTATTTATTCTACCGCAAACTTCCTTATTTTTTCGGACCGAAGCATCTTCGATTGATCGAGACACGAACCACTTTAGCATTTTGATTCCTACAGCTTTGGTGCGGTTCTGTTCAAAGAAGCGACAGCATTGAGAATCGATACGATGTCTCGTTTGTAGTTTCTTAGCACGTTTAGTTTCTTGCTCCTCACGTTTTTGAGAAAGAAAAAGTAATATAAAAAAAAAAAGAACAATACACACCGCATGAAGAAAATAGAAAAGAAATAGACAAATAATCTTTCTACGTTTACTTCAATTCGCAAACTGATTCACCCGACTTCGATTTACCGAAGGCAGACACAGTATTGTTCCCTGAGGAAACAATTGTGGTCTAACAATAAGTGTAAAGAGAAAAAGATAATTCTGACACACTATATTAAACTTGAAAAGTTTACATCGCGCGGCTTTAGTTTATGATAAAATAAAATTTCCGACTATTTGTAAAAATTGCGTATAATTGCAGCTCTTTGACTTTGTTCGTAATTACATAAAACATTAATCACGCGTTTATATGTGCATTAAAGAAAATAATTTGACATTTGTGAAAATGTTATATAAATTTACAAAAACACATATTTATGCATTTTATGTGGCGAACGATATCAGCGTAAAATGTAGTGTTAATAGACAAGCAGGGTGGATTGTAGCACGATGCGCGGGTACTTTTCACAAATAAATCGACTGCATTTCCGGCATTTTAGAGCTGAATTGCTGTTCACACACAATTTACAGCGCTCCATTTCCCGCGCCGCGATCGCATCGCGCAATCAACACTCGCGTTCCGTACGCTCCGCTTTCGAATTCTTGAAAGACCGTTCAGAATAGATTCGCAAAAGAACGAGCATCCTGCGTTCTCGAAATGCCCGAAGGCCATTCGTGTAATGAAGGAATACAAAAAGATCGGACGAAACCTTCGCCTAACGATACGAACGGTTTTCCCCCGTCAAGAGAACCAACCAAGTGAACAACGTGTATCACGTACGCGACCTAACCAAAAGCTAGAGCGAAACACCAAAAGAAAATAGAATTTTCCTTAGTATAAGATTCGATTGAATTTCCTCGGTCACCGTCTATAACAATATAGAGAGGAAATTTGATATAACGAAAATCAGGTATGACAAATTTAATTTCAAGGTTCGACGGAGAGTTCGCGTTGTAACGTGATTTCGCCGTAGTTACTCGAGCGGTTACTCGGAAAGCGGTTCTTTCGAAACTATCGCAGGCTTCGGCAAGAATCGAAGGGACGGCATAGAGAAGGAGAAGGAGGGGGAGGGGGAGGGTGGAGGGATGGCAGCTTTATCATCGACCCGTTCTCTGAACGTTCCCTTCCCTCTTCCCCTGTCAACCCCCGCAGCATCCATCCCGGTCGAGCACTTACGAAGATGAGTGGCCATGTAAGAAACATGATAAAACCCGGGGAGGCGACGTACAAATTTCTCCACCGTGCGAATTACGAGATTCGGAAGGAAGGAAGGATACGTTCCGTCACGTTTCAACCTCGCTACTCTCGCTATACCCTCTCGTGCGCGTATATGTATGCATATACGGATGTATATGCACACGCACAGGCACACGTGCGAGAAGCTTGGTGTAACGGCACACAGGGTCGTGAGCTTCCATATTTAATAAAGCAACGCGTCCTCACCCGCCAACCGCATACTTTTCCAACCCGTGAAATGACCCTTTCCATCTAGTACGAGCATTTCCACGTTATACCAGCGCGACCTCACACTTTCGGCTTTTACTTTGAACCTCACCATCCGCGCTCCAGCCCTCCGTTATGCCTTCACTTTCGCACATTTTTAGACCGGTTTAAAAGAGGCAAATCGCGTTTCCCCAACATCGTGCGCGATTATTTTTTAAATCTCCTAAATCCGACATTTTGTAGAAAAAAAATGCCTCGTTAGATTAATTGCTGGGCTCTTAACGTTCATGACGTCGCGAAAGCCAATTATCAATTAGTGGGAAAATTGCGAAAAGCATTGTTATTTTCTGTTAATTGGCAATTTCTTCAAAAAATGTCGAAAATTACTAACTTATTATTATGTGATTGCTCGATATACAGCCAACGAATTTTCGCCGTGATCAATAAATCAACGTGCTATACTATAAAATAGTGGTAATAGAGTATCCCAGTTTATAAAACCGAAAAAAAAATGCGCCAAACATTGAAGAGAAAAATTTCAAATTTTTGAGTAAAATATATAAAAAATTGTTTTCTGTTTCACATAAAAGGCAATTTGTATGCTTCGTAAGCATATTTCTCTCTCCGGTCGGAAATATATTATATTTATCGTAGGGCTCGCTGGTCTCTGAGACCTTTTCCCGCGCTATAACCCTCGTTTTACCCTCGCTTTACCCTCATGCTGGGTGCCTCTGTGGCATGGTACAGCTAGGATTACCGCGAAACTCGGCGGAACGTCTCCAACTCTCATCGAATAAATAACAAGAGAAATCCGGTCGACTCTTGACCCGGAACATCGTATACTTGGAAAAGTCGCCGGATTGCAATGTCGTTCGCTCTTTTGCAGAGATAGAAAGGCCGACGACTACCGGTGGGTGGATAAACAATAGACGGCAAATCACTTTGACGAACTCGTGGTGGCGCACAAGATTCACCAACGAGCGCAAACATGCAAATACACTTTGTGACTTACCCTTTGTGCTTTGCCGGGCCGCGTTGCAATCATTTCAGAGAAGAAGTCCGCTTGAAATCATCAAGCTGCCACCTTTAACAGATAAGAAATGCATAATATAAAACAGCTGCAAATATAAGTAAAGGTTGGTGAAAGATGCACTATATATTGGAGTAATGCATATACATGTTCTATAATAAAGTCAGATATATAGAATACTCATGGACTATATACATACACACAAATACCCACCCACCCACACACACCCACCCACACACACCACCACACACACACACACACACACACACACACACACACACACACACACATATATATATACTTTTATATATGTATGTGTAATATACCTATGTAAATGTGTCAAGGACTATATTTGAACGTTGAAACTATATATGAAAATTCACTCGCGGATTTTGTGACGCTTTTGGATTAAAGAGGATCTCTCGCATATAACGCTTAGCACTGTACGGCATGAAACGTATACCTAACATAATATTATCATAACGCATTAAAAGCGTACAAAATTCAACACCGGATTACCATCGACCTGTTTTTCTTCAATTTCCGGCACATTTGCAACCGCAACGTAAATCTATTCATCCGGTGAGCCTATCCACATTTATATCCGGGACTGTGATGGTAACTTTAGACGCGATGCGATTTGCAAGTTATCTCAATTATCCCGATCCATTGCTACAAATGTTTAGAAAACACACTGAAAACGTGCACTTCCATGTTAATGGGTAAGGAAGCAAATGGCGCGAATATATATAACTTGGGATAGGTCGGATAATCAGAAAATCCGATTGTGTCCGAGAGATTTTGCTTGTCGCGTTTAATCGGTGAATAATTTAAATAGCGTTTTTGCATTATCGACGCGATAATTACATTTTCGTCCAGCAGCACTCTCATGTGTTTCTTACATGCAAAACTTACCCATATTCATTTAATCAGCGATAGTTAAAACATTAATTCGTTTCGTTAATGTTACACCGGGAGAATGTTTACTTTATATAAAACATCTCCTTTATGTAATTTCATTAAAATCCACCTAGAGGTAATGTTTTAATTAATATATAATAAATTGAATTAATTAAATTTAATTAGGTTTAATTAAAACAGTTTCGACTAAATTTTCCTTACATTTTCTTGAATAAAAAGTTTTGCATGAACATTTGATCTGGAAATTTTTGCTATTATGACAATCAATTTTATTATATCATAGTTACGTATATTTTAGTTCTAATACATAAATATAATTTTGCATCTATGTTGCACAAAGTACTTCTAAAATATTATAATTATTACTAAAATTATGTAAATTGATATTGTTCAAACCGTTTGATTAATTGTTTAACGAACATTTAAATGTGTGTTTCTCGCAAATATTTTTTTAAAAATGGTCTCTTGAAAAATAGTTCCTCTTTAAACTAATTGCAGGTTTGAAAACGCGAGAGCCACCATGATTGATGCGGAATTAAATTGGCATTTGTTTTTTTTTTGTACGAAAAAAAGTATTGCCCATCGATAACTTTCGCACGAGAGGAAATGAGATGAAACGTCATTGATAATTTCATCGACTGATCTATTTTAATTGATTTGACCAGTAATTAAATACGTGTAATAATTGTACGATGGGGATTTGTTCGACAGCTCGAAAGTTAATGGTCGTAACTATATAACATGATGATAACACACGACCGCGCTTTTGTTTATTTCCGCTTCTGATTTATTTATTCTCCGATATTCAGAATTATAATTCGGAATAGAATTCAGATTATAATGCACGTATATTGATACAAGTTTTAAATCATTTGAAAATCTACACGGAGAATGAAAGCTACTGTCTAGGATTAATATACGTTTTTCATAATCCTATATGCCAAACATATACTCGATGCTCGATCAAAAGCCACGTATATAACGCACATATACATAACTACTCGATCAACGTCTCATTTGCGATACTGGCTGAAATTATTAACGCGGCGGTAATCTGAAATTTGATCGAAATTTTACAAAATTCTATTGATAGACAATTCATTTAAACGGAAGTTAATTATTTTAACTGCTAAACAATATCGTGTAAAGTGTCAATCACACCATGAAAATACGATCGACATTTATACATATACATATATCAGACAAGACAATAGCACTATAGGATATAAAAGAGGAGAGGTATTCGCATTGTCAGAGACATGACCAATAAATGGCGGGGCTTTGTCACTCGGTGCTGTGCCAAGCTGGCGAAAAAGTTTTACGCGACAGGTGTTTCGTGACATGTATTTCCACGCGCGCGAGCCATTTTACATAAAATGATTTTCTTATCCTGATGTATGGTTATTTTACATAAACGGCGAAAACTTATGCGAGGATTCAAGGCGGTACGCGCGCGCGACTATATACATTTACAAAGCTGAATCCAAATTATGAGCTTCAAAGCGCTCCGCGAAATCCGTCACTTCCGTCTGTCTTGAATAATTAAAGTTCGAAATCGTAAGCAGTGAAGCAACGAAAGCAGTAGGGATCTGAAAGAGAGATGCACCCCATCAAAGCAAATATGAATCCCTCGTTTTATATTTTAACAATATTACTTTTAGCAAACGAGATATTGAATAGTTTATGATTTCTAATTAAAATATACCGCGTATTAAGAATCAAGTGTATTGCATATTGTGCAAAGTCTATTTTGCGCACTTTGCACAGTTTTCCATCAGCTACTCAAACTAATTAAAACGGAGCTGAGAAACGTCGGAAAAGATAAACTCGGCACTGGTTCTTGGAAAGATGCACGTAAAAACGCCATTTTGCCACAAAGTTATATTCCTTCATGATGTCGCGAAACGACGAGAGAAGAAAAATACAGTGCATTATATATATATATATATATATATATATATATATATATATATTAGGTGCGCAACTAAGTATATATATATATATATATATATATATATATATATATATATATATATCGCCCAGCGCCAAACTTCACGAATAAGTGGAGCATGGATAAAAGCAAAGTTAGTAAGTGTGTAATTAACAACTCCGTTAAGGGAGTCAAGCACTCGAGAGTATTCAGAAGTGGACGTAAGCAAGGAGATATAGTGAGACATCAGAAGGCTAAGAGAGACGTAAGGTCTATTACAAGAATGAATTAAATACAAGCGCGTAAAGCGATCGAGTTTAAAACTAGCATAAATTAGCTATGACTACATCAATGGTACTTTTATGTTTCATGACCTTTTTTGCGAGATGTGTAATTACTGTATCATTCCTAAAGTTTCTACTAACAAAAAGTTACGATTTGTTTCTTATCAGCTCTATTTAAACTGTTATTTAATCCTCATTTTCTTATTGTTGTAGAAAGAGAGATATAATTTTATTATTATTATTACAAATGGATAATACAACTGTACACAGTTTAATAATTGAGTTATATAAACAAAAAATATACAGCGAGGAATATTCTCTCTGTACATTTATATTATACAATAATAATAGAATATTAAATTAACACGGTTTATTTTAAATAAATTAATTCACTTATTTATATTCGTCGCAATGACGAAAAAATAATAATAATTTCGGAAAATTTCCTGATTACGCTGAAATGCAAAAGTGGTTGTCAGACCCCGATCATGCAGTTCAGAATTAATTACTTTGATTAGGAGTTGCCTGTCATCGCGAGAGGGTTTCTTGCGGCGGGTTCGGGCCCTAGGGAGAGGGAGGGGAAAGCCACGACACGACCTTATCTACCTCGAAAGGTCCAACGTTCGATCCATTGATTCGTCGAGACCCTAATACGGCGCACGGAACTGACGTCGGCCGATAGGTCGCCCGTGTCCCAGAATCGGGCTCTGATCGACATCCCAATACCGGTATGTACATCCACCGATCCACCCGAGACAGAGACACTATCCGTTGGTCGACACATACGCAAACGGCAAATTCCCGCCGTCGACGGAGACGACACTTTAAATAAGCCGCACTCGTTACGTTCCTCGTTACGTACCTTTCGCAATTTCTAATCCGAATACCACGTCCATCGAATTGCCAAAAGAAAAGAACGTGTTCACAGTTTTCACGTATGTTTATTTTTATTTTTGAGACGTGTTCAAATGAAAAAATATAACATAAATTTTTAGAAAAATCAATATGTAATAGCAATAATTATATTTAATATAGTACATATATGTAATACAAAATAAGCAAATTTGTGTTTTTATATCCTTATCTTTTTGTACATTTATTATTACGATAACGTTTGTGTGTATATTTCTTTTTTTTTATTTCTTAATATATTCCTAATTCTAATTACGGTTATTATTTCTATATTTCTTTCTTTATCTTTACTTCCCCGTTTACATATTCCATTTTATTTTTATTTGGCAATATTATATTCTTTTATTACTATATATATGTACTACTCTGTATAGATTCAAGAGAATCTATCCATTTTCACATTAAAATTTATTAATACTACTACTATTATTATCTGCACATTTAACGATAAATGTGTCAATTCCTAATTTCCTTCATTTGACATAATATCTTATTTGATGATAGTTATAATGAGAAAGGGGATTAGGTAGTCACATTTTATGTCAAATAATGCATGAGACAAAAATACGAGCATTCGCGAACTGTAAAGTCACTCTATTATTTATCTCCCGAGAGAACATATATTCGCGATATGGTGTGATCGATCAGAATTAAAATTCGTTCGATCGCTTTCCTCCCACTGACTCTAATGCTTCTCACCCCCCGAGTAATTGGCGTTCTCTAATGTCCCATCGAGGTCACTTACATAACGCGCGACCCCATTTCTATCGTTCCAGAGATGTGAGGAATGATCACGTGGGTGATGGTCGGGCTGCTTCTGGCTGCGGAAACTTGCGGCAGAAACGTCCTCTCCGGAAACGGAAACGGAAACGGAAAGGAGGAAGCGAAGCAGCGGGAGGATCTGAAAGGCGTCAGCGCGGACGAGGAAGACATCTATCGTGAGTATTGGCGTTAAACCATGGAGAAAAAGAAAACGTTCGGTGGAGAATAGACAGAGAATCGGTGGAAAAGAGAAGCGTGAGGGGCAAAGAGAGAGATAGATAGAGAGGGGATGAAAAGAATTGAACGAAAACTATGATTTACTCGGGTTAACTCGAGTTTATCCCGGCTCGCCGTTTCTGCAATCGAATGCCACTAATCTCCGACCTACCGCTTATCCTTTCTACCAACTTCGCACATGTACCACAACCCTTTCTCTGTCAATGACATGTTCCCGACGCTCTTCGTGTACAATCCTCATTTATCCTTGCACGAAAGTTCTTCCTTAATAGCAATGATAAAATCACGACGACGTAACTTCGCGTTAACGAAATTAAATTTCGTACAAAACCGTATTGTCCTATTCCAATAGAGTTGTCGCAAAGTTCTTTTCTTGATAAACTCGACGTCAAACTATTTAAACTTGATAACCCGACTTGTTAATTCTCTTGGACGTCTAGACGTCCTAAACCTTCTTTAATCTCTAAATGTGTATGTTCCCTTTAATTTTCTTTCTTCCTAAATAGAATTTTCGTATCTCTACAGGCACGACGGTGCAATTAAGAGTTAACGCGTCTTCATCCCGCCCCGATTGTCCCCGTGACGCACTTACTCAACCCGGCGCTTTCTGTTGCAGGTCTAACGTGCTACACTTGCGTCAACGTCAGCGATAACCAGGTATATCGACGACTCCATTAAACGCTCCCTTAAGAGTCTCCCGTAATGGCTCTATCGTGCCGGTCCAGCCGCAATTTTGTAGGATTCTGTAGATTGTTCTGCCATCGATTTCGATTTATTCTAAATTCCCTTTATTGCTTTTCGCTTCTCTTTCGCAATAATAGTTCCGATCTTATCTTTATTTTTCCGCCGCTTCTTGTCTTTTTCTTTACAGAAATACGCCGTAATGTAATATATTATTAGTTCGTAAACTGCATAATATTGGCGGAATTTTAGAAGAACAATAACACTATAAAATATATTTTTATGTGCTAAATAATTCTTTTTAATTTAAAAAATTCGTTTTCGATAAAACTATAAAAAAATACTAAAAGGACGAAAATTTAATCTTATACATTATGCATATTTTTTCGACGTTTGTGCAAAGAAAAATACGTACTTGACGATATTGGCAATATAAAAAATTTAACTTTTTTTATGAAAACTTTGCATCGAGATTGCTACTATTTCTGTTCTTGCAGATGTGCAACGAATGGGCGATAGATACACCGTGTCCGGCAGGCGGTCGTGATTTCTGTCGATCGCTGCACATTCTGGACAGCCGGGGAAATAGCGTCTTGGCAAGCATACTTTTTTTTCACTTATTCTGCTAATACATTGCGCAAAGGAACGCTCGTAACTATATTCCCATCCCACGATTTTCATAAATTTCAAATATATTGTCGAATAGCTCATAGCAAGAGATATCTATGTTTTTATATGTGTCTTATGAAGAGATGGCAACTCCTCGATCTCTCGACATATTTCACTTTAAAGCTGAATATCTCCGAGATACTATAAAATATGTTTGAAAAATGTTTTATGAAAAGTTGTACATACACGACATGCATAATAATGCATTATTTTTATGCATATATATATACTAGCTTTTCGGACCGCGCTTCGCGCGGTCCTCAAAGCCTTTCTATTCGGACCGCGCTTCGCGCGGTCCTCATATAGCCTATATTAAATCCGGTTTAACACAAAAAATTAATTCTTTTTTTGTATTACCGCGAACTACTTCCACATTTGTTGTCCGACTTTCATGAAATTTATATCAAAATAAATGTTTAAATTTTTTTTGGATGACTACTATGTTATCTATTTCTTTCTCCCAGATATTTTATTTTACACCGCGTTTTGCATATATTTAAATATTTATTATATATTTTTATTTTTATTTATTTATTTTTTTTATTTTATTTATATTTATTTTTATGCACATGGGTGCGTGGATACGTGGGTGGGTGCGGGGGTGGATAAATAAAGTAATAAAAATTTGTTAAAATCATATAGTAGCCATCCCGGACAAAATTTGAGTACAAATTTCGAAAAAGTCTGTGAATAAATGTTTGAATACGTGGGTGGATGCATGGGTGGGATAAAACTTAAAAGAACCACACAGCAGCTTTCTCAGAAAAATTTGCAACATTTTTGTACCAATTTCGTGAAAATTGGTCCATAAATGCGCATGCGCGTGGGTGGGTGCGTGGGTGGAGGTGTAACACTTGAAAAAACCGCATCGTCTCCATCTCCAAAAAATTTGCAACAATTTGGTACCGATTTAAAAAAAATCGGTTCATAAGTATGCGATTGCGCGGGTGGGTGCGTGGGTGGAGGCGTAAACTTAAAAAACCCACACAGCAGTTTCCTCAGAAAAATTTGCAACATTTTGGTATTAATTTCGTGAAAATTGGTCCATAAATGCGCATGCATGTGAGTAAATGCGTGGGTGGGTGAGTAGGTGGAAGTGTAACACTTAAAAAAACCGCATCGTCGCTATCTCCAAAATTTTGCAACATTTTGATACCATGTGTTCAGAAATATTGCAAAAAAAATTTTTTTTGCAAAAACATACCCTCCTCTGAGGAAAAAAAATAAAAATAAAAAAATTAAAAAAAAAAACCCACAGCAGCCACCCCCGAAAAATTTGCAACATTTTGGTACCAATTTCGAGACAATCGGTCCACAAATGCGGAAGTAGTTCGGGTACAGACAGACAGACAGACAGACGGACGGTGCTTATATATATAGATATATATAACTAAAGATGAATTTTTTAAATTTGAAATTTTTCTTATATAAATTTTCTTTGCTTTTACACACATACATATATATAAATTATTTTTTCTAGATGTGTTTTTTCTATTTTGATATCACGGCCCAACAAATTAAAAAAATTCAGTTACGAACGTTGCCTTTGTCATAGGATCAATAGCACTCTTGAAACAAGAGACGCAAACAGAAACCGTGAAAAAAAAAACGTGAACCTAATAACAAACCATCGACTCTCGCGATCGGAGTAAATTTCGTTACTGTCTAACCACGGTATATACGTGGTTAAATAAAATCAATTAAAGGTTATCGTATGTGGCTAATTGACTTACATTAGAAAGATAATCGATTTTCGGGCTATTAATGAACGAAGTTACGCGAACGGATTCGGGTCTGGACGTCGAGATGGATGGTCCTCTCGAGCTTAAGCGCTTTTCGAGTCCGGTCGATGTACCAACGGATGAACTTTGATGGAACTTTCCACGTTCCACGTTGACGACGATAATACGCGATAATTTAATGTCGCGCATTACCGATGCGACAGTACTAATTACATAATTAGTGTGAGTCAATTTTTCTCCCAACTTTTTAATTAAAATTAATATTATTAGAGATGTAAATGTTGGAATGAAGAATCTTGTCACCACGATATTTTTCATCTCGTTAATCACTTCAAACATATCTGTCAATTATATTTCTTAAAGTATGAAAACTTTATTTAGTTCCGATCGCGAGATACAAAAAATTTTGATACGTGCCATGCACCGGAATCTCCATTATCGCATTCATTCACGCGCTATCATTGTTTTCTTCCGTTTTAGGTAAGCAAGTCTTGTGCCAGCAGCGAGGAATGCGGACCAGCGTCGGTCGGTTGCATTCCCATGGACACGCAGCAGGTGCGAAATAGCGAATTTTGTCGTGTACCCGGGGGAGATTTCTCGAACAATCTCGAGGCAAAAAAAATGACGGACAAAAAAAACAAAGAGACAAAAATATTAAGAGAGAAATACCGACGGAGCCGGGTGAAATAAATTCGGTTATTTCGTTTCAGATTTGCATAAGTTGCTGCGACCTGAGCTACTGCAATATCGAATCGCCTACCAACGCCACAAACGCGATCTACTCGCGCAAACGACGCGCCAAGTCGAAATCGAAGCGCAAACGGCCCGGCAGAAACGGGGTCGACGCGGCGATGCGGCTGTACGGGCCCAGCTTGCTCTGGCTTCCCGCCTCGCTCTTCTATGCATATCATTGCTGAGGAAGCAGCAACATTAACTAAATTCGCGCACGCGAAGCGGACAGCGCGGAAATCGCGCAACCGCGACGAATCGAACGACGTGGTTGACGTCGCCGTCACCTTTTGATCGAATGTTGTTCTCTGTGATTCCTTCTGTAGCTTCACACTCGCCTAAAGAATTACTAAAGAACTGACGCCGCCGTAATAATTCCGACCAAATTCTCCGACAAACTTCCGCCAAACTGATGATGGAAGGACCATTTTATCGCGCTCGAATTTTTCGCACTCGTCGAGCTGATCTCGACGACGATTATCGTCCAATTATTTAGAAAGAAAATGACATTCTCTATTTTTCGTACTATCGTTTCACACGTTCACCATTATTACTTAAAACCGTTTATATTTAATGAAAATCGCAAATTTCGACGTACCTATACATGTCAATCGAACACTTGTGTTTCAAACACGCCAGGAAAACGAGATGTTTGTTTCGGGAATAAAGTGTCTGTAAAGAATTGTTTGGGAGTAATTCCAGGAGAGATTCAGAGGGACGAGATTCGGGGATAGAGCGGTCGAAAAACTTGGCGCCGTTTCGCGCTGTCCGAGACGTTATTAATCGGGGACTCTTCGAACTAATCGGGTCCCCCGTGATGGCAAAAGGAATTGTTTTCTCGTCGTAGTATCGGTAGTATCGCTATGCCTCGAAGTAGAAGGAACTTAAGGCACAAAAAGTACGGCCGAAGAAGACTTGGAGAAAATCGATAGTTCCGAATTCGTTTCCGGCGAGACTCGACGACAATCTAGACACACTATGCAATAAAATCGACTACCAATCATACTGAGATGTAGTTTATCACGACGATCTATGTCTATATTTGACACTCTTTCACAAAATCAAAAGCTAAATAAACGTATCGTGATTAAAAATAATTAATTTAGAGAGTATAATAATAAAACGTAGAAAGAGAGAGTATATGTGTATTATATTGTATAAGGTATAAAAAAATCTAATTAACTTGATTTCTCTCCATATCAGAATATTTGTGATATGCACATATTTCATTTAATTTAGTGGAAAATTGAACGGATAAAATTATTTTATCGCGCGTGACTGACAGTTAACATGTTGAATGTGAAATGTTTGTCCCAATTATAAGGACGTAATTTGTCAAAGAAACCACTTAAATTCGCTACATCGAAATTTATTGGTGTAAATTATAATCAACTACGTAAGTAGCGCATCAGAAGCGAATTCGAATTATCGAATAAAAAATTATTCACACATCTACAAACTCGCCTACTACAGACTCTTTACTGCTATCATAATTATTAACGATTATACATAATATATTACAATATAGATACTATACATTGTTTCGGCATGATGTAAGAAATACTGTTGGTAATGAAATAAAGAAAATTATACTTGTCACACACATCTCTTTACTATCTTTGTAGCATAAGCTATGAATATCTATCGTAATTTTGCATTTGCAACTGTTTCATTTATCCGGAATGAATTTAATAATTTAATAAAATGGAAGAGATTTTTAATTCGCTTATTCTATTAATTTTGATTTACCAAGCTTGCGGTATTGTAAAGCGGATTACATTCTGGTATGCAAAACATGGTAATTTCACGAAACAATTCCAAATAATGAAATAAATCATCGCATATAATGAAATATAATAAATTGAATAAATTTACTCACCGAGAACGTTGGACGACCGCAACACTCCTGTCGTTATATGTTCCATCGATGCAGTGTCAATTTCTGCTTGAAACGCTTTAGCCTAAAGTCCATCGAGTCACGTGGATGCGAGTGGAAATTGCGTTTAAAATTGTAATCACACACACACACAACGAATTTTCTCGTATCGTCGTCGATATACGTTTGAGGTTGGTGAGCTGTAATAATATTCAATATATAATTAGTCGGATTACATATATCTCTTTTGATACAATAAATTATTTTCTCATTTTATATATCAATTTTTGCACTTTGAATATAATTTATTTTTATGCATAATAAATTATCTAAAAATTATGTAAATTATACATATATAATTGTACATTATAAATGAAAAATGTGTGGCAAAATTTTATAAAACAGATCATTATTACAGGATTATTACAAGGATGAATATTAATCATCTCGATGGACATCGATGACCTCGATATAAAAACTGAGATTTAGAACCATCCATTGCGATCGAGAAAATGCGGTTAATTATCCGCGTATCAATTAACACAACGTAACGATCGTCCTGCTGTTCATTTTCGACCGACATAATGTCGAGTCGTTTGATTTAGAATCGACATGATTCCACTTGACAAATCTACTCGACTATCGCGCGTCAACGAGTAGTTAATTAGTATCACTTACCTTAATTGATTCACCATCGCGGTCGATTAGGTTATTCAATGTACTCGACGAGCTTCGTACGCGACACGAATCGCGAATTACGCGAAAACGCGATGTATCCTGATTACGCGCACTAATTAATACACTACGACTGTACCTAGACACGACGCGTGAAATGCACTTTTCTCGAGTGAATAACGCGGGAGAGATTTCTCGGCGGCAATTTTTTGGCGCGAAGCCGCGCGAAAAGAACATGGCGCGCATGCGCGGCACTCGAGGTCTCGCATCAACGCTACGACCGAATCGCGCGACTCCGAGAGTACACATTATCGTAGATACGCGGTTAATCATGTTCGCTCGAAGTCAATTAACGCGTTATGACAATGCCCGGCGTCACGCGCGACACTTTCAACGCCGACTGGTACGCGATACACAAGTTCGTCGGATAAAACAAGCGCGAACAACGCGGAACAATTTCACGACGTCAAACTATGCCGGCGCGGGTTATGCGCAAAGTGTATGATGGCGCGCATGCGCGGCTCGCATGCGTCATTACGCGAAGCGCGCGCAACTCGCGGCGATTTCGCTAGACGCTTCTATTGTCTATTAAAATCATGGACGTAAGAAATATATACTTCGTCCATGATAAAAATAATTGCGCGAGCATTGCAAGTTTCAAGTGGAACACACCTGCTAGACACAGAGACATTATTCTAATCAATATAACGAACATGATAATCATATAGTAATTAATTAAAACTATTATTATTCGGTTCCCGATTCTGCGACTTTCGGATCTATATTTTTCTCTCGCACTTTATTTCTTTAGGGGGAATAGGGGATACATGGATTTAAAAAAAAAATCTCTTGTAGAGATTATTCCAATTTTATATCTTGGCCGTGTCCAAGTAAAAATTTGGTGCCTTGTGCACAGGTATTTAATTCTAACGAAAAAATTTAGTTTCGTTTAGAATAACGCACTGTCATCCGCGATTTGGCTCTTATTGCCTATCTTATATATGTTAAATTTATATTTATAAAACTATTATTATTATTTACCTCGATATATTTTCCACGTTTATTTATTCGCTGTTTTCAGTATTCCTTGCAAACGACTTGAATTGCGCTCGACTTTAATTCGATGTAAAATACGATAAATAGACGCTATGTATAGAGGCGTTCACGCGCGGATAAACGATAAACTCGCAATTGAATCGTGTCAGGTTAATTAATATGTACGCGACGCTCTTTTACCTGATAATTTCGCTGATTAGCGCGGATAACGCGGAACAATGTCACGGCGTTTAACTCTCGACAGTCTCGACGCGAGGACGGGTGAAGTATGACGCGCATGCGCGCATCACGTGATAAATCGCAACTAAATTCGCTCGCCGCGAAACGCGATTATTTTGAATAAACGGCGAAAGTAATTAGTAAGTATACAGCGTGTACCTGAGTACGGCGCGAACGCTCGAGTTATTGCAGAATGAATAGTAATGCAAATTTGAGATAGAAATTTGCGTAGTTAGACATCAGATAAACTTTAGCGTTTACCGGAGTCGACATGCGATATGGTAGAAACTGTTATTATAAACATGAATTATTATTAGGTTAATTAATAACACACGTGTAACGAAATTCGCGGATTCCGGATATAGTTTGATATATTCTCTAGCTCGTGATACGCGAGATACGTTGCGGATAGTAAATATACAATATGAAATATGCAAAACTCCTATTTACAGGCAGCATCTAAATCAACAAACATTATATTAATTTTATAAATGTTTTCTTGCAGATATAAATACATATATCGCAACAAGAGAAATGAATTTTTTTTAAGCAATGAAAAAATAATACTAGACTTTTAGATAAAATTACCGAATACCTAGGTTTATGAAGCATTCGAGTTTAAATTCATATGTAAAATAATTTTGCGAAATTCATGTATGTATGCATATCTAATTTGATATGCTTGATGAGCATTCATAACACTTTATATTCATGACGCTTTTAATGTCAGCGCTATTGCGCATGCGTACAAGCATCCCTCCATCTGGGAAGACGTTCGGACACTTTCCAGCAGCGTCACTGTGAGTGACTGTGAACGTCGTATGCGCAACGAAAATCTATATTAAAATGGAGGAGCTGCCACCAGGCGAGCTTCCAGATCAGCCGAACAAGAGGTACAGGAGAAACACATTTCGCTTTGTTAAATAATCGCGGATTCGCTTTAGATACGACGTCCTAGTGATCGCTTGCGTCACATATTCCTCGTCTTAACCTATATTCGCTCGAGAAACGATCCTCGTTGGACACGATTTGCCGCATAATTATTAACGATTCTTCTACAAGTATCGCTACGGCGAGATACGATCGCGAATTTTTAGCATAAAACGGTTTAGCGTAAAACGCAGACGATTCTCGAACTAATTACGTGGAATTTTACCTCGGAAAGACATTTTCATGTATTGCTCATTCTTACGCTTTGTCACTCGTGATCTCATTTCATTCTGATGAAATTTAATTTATTGACAGATATATGTAACGTATAACTGGGAGACAGCTTTTGATTATCGTCAATTTATGCATGTATAAATAAAACTGCACTTTATTATGATTGCTCATAATATGTATAAATCTATATTCCTGCTATATATGTATATGTAACGTCATAATTGTCTGATTGTATTATAACGATTATTCAACATGCTTTTTCCTGCTACATTTTGTTACGTTATGTACATATACATGGAGAACTGTATTTGTCTATTGAAAAACCATAATAGAACTATGTTGTTATTTTATTATAGTCGCAAAAAGAAAGATCGAAGAAGAAGAAAAGAACATGCAGCAGCACACGCAGCCAGTGGAAATCACAACAACAATAAGGAAGACAAAGAGAAAGAGATGTCTAGTGCATGCAATATCTCCATCAAAGAGATTCAGATGGCGATGGAGGTATTTAATATGCAACAAAAACCTGCCAAAACTCAGGAGGAAGCAATGCAGAAACCTTATCAATTTTGGAACACTCAGCCAGTACCAAAAATGGGTGAATAAGCAGTTAAAAGATTTATTTTGTTGTTATTAATATTTTTTTCTAAAGAAACTCTGGTTATTGATTTTCAGATGAAAAAATTGTACGCAACGAGGCAATTGAACCTGATAAAACATCTATTAGAGCAGAGCCTTATTCATTACCTGCCGACTTTCAATGGGATACCTTGAACTTGGAAGATCCTTTGGTTTTATCGGAATTATATACATTACTTTCGGAGAATTATGTCGAAGATGATGACGCGATGTTTAGATTTGATTATCCTCCCAATTTTTTGAAATGGGCGCTGCAACCTCCTGGTTGGTGCAAGGAATGGCATTGTGGTGTGCGAGTGAGCAAGAGCGGACGTCTTGTCGGTTTTATCTCTGCTATACCAGCCACTCTACGTGTCTATAATCAGTGAGTATTACATGCTTGCACAATATTCGATTTCGTAATGTAATGTTGAAAATGTTTCTAGCATTCAAAAAATGGTGGAGATCAATTTCCTATGCGTACATAAAAAGCTAAGATCGAAGAGAGTCGCTCCTGTATTGATTCGTGAAATTACAAGGAGAGTGAATTTGCAGGGCATTTTTCAGGCTGTGTATACTGCCGGTGTCGTTTTGCCAAAACCTATTGCAACTTGCAGGTCAATATATAAAATTCAAAATCTTATATATTAATAATTAATAAATTAATATTAATTGTATGTATATATATATATACCTTATAGGTATTGGCACCGATCCTTGAATCCAAAGAAGTTAATCGATATCAAGTTCTCTCATCTTACTCGCAACATGACGATGCAGAGAACTCTAAAGCTATATAAACTGCCAGAGAATACAAAGGTACCAGGTTTCAGAAAGTTGGTTTATACAGATATACCGCAAGCGCGTAAGATATTAATGGAAGTAAGTATAAAAGCAAAGTTTATCGATTATACCATATATTTGATTTATGATTATATTTTATCACAATGTATTTATCTTCCAGTATTTGGAAAAGTTCGATCTTGCTCCGACATTTTCGGCTGAAGAGTTCGAACATTGGTTCCTGCCACGAACCGGCATTATTAACAGTTTTGTAGTGGAGAAGGAAGGGAAGATCACCGATATGGTAAGTTATTACACGTTGCCGAGCTCTATCATGCATCATCAGACACACAAGACTCTCAAAGCCGCATACAGTTTCTACAATGTGTCTACCGTGACGCCATGGCTTGAACTAATGATGGATGCTTTAATATCTGCACGTGATGTAAGTCTTTTATTTTATGTGTTTCACGTAGAACTTTCGAACGATTATTAAACATACGGTCTTTATTCACAGTTGGGTTTTGATGTATTTAACGCGTTGGATCTTATGGACAACAAGGAATTTTTAGAGCCCCTCAAATTTGGAATTGGCGATGGCAATCTTCAGTACTACCTATATAACTGGCGTTGCCCTAGTATGACACCCGGCAAAATCGGTCTCGTGCTCCAGTAAGCTTCTAGAGAGAGAGAGGGGGGGGGGGGGAGAAAGAAAGAGTTTCTTGCGTTTTTCTCGCAAGAGAGATAGCGTTTAAAGTACGAGCGGACAATGGACTCATAGAGCAATAGAATAAAAGCAGTAAAGATGACAATGTCTGACGGAAATTAATGCGACTTTTCTTACCGGCGAAAATAATAAACGTATCTATAGTGATTGAAAAGAATACGAGTTTTCTTACAGAAACATCGACAATCGATTAGATAACTCGATCTCTCGAAAATCACTTTTGTCTTCGTCGTTGGAGCATTTGAACATTCTAGGTTGGACTTTACGCAAGCGGGACTACTATGAAAATTGTGCATTGTACAGCGCACGTGTATATACGTACCTGCGTGATTCGAACAATGTAGATAAGTATCATGCAATTAATAGCAATTGCGATTATACATGGGAGGCCATCCCATCACCAGTGAAAAATTTTCAATAATGTAAGCCTCTTAGACGCCAAGTAACTCTTTATTCGTTTTTCCTTTACATCTCGGCTAATTAGATGATACAGGATATGCCGAAGTGCGACAGACAAATTAAAAATAAAACGTAATTTATCGAGAATGATTTTATTCTGCCCTCTCTTTCGCTATTTCTAAGTTTCTTATTCCTTTTTCCTCCCCTATTTCAAATTATTATATCTATACTTATAATTAAGTTGTATTTTATAGTAAATATTATTTCTTATAATAATATTATTAACAACATATATAATAGTTGTAGATTTCAGAATTATATAACAAAAATTCGTTTTTAACTCTGATTAGGGATCTCTGCAAGACTCAAAATTAGTTGTAGAAATCAACTTTTTTATAGATATAAATTAACATATAAAAAATTATTTTATTGCAGTATCAAATATATTTATTTAATTCTCGTTATCGGAAAAATATAAAAAGAAAAAATTACATTCTTTAATAAATTATATATTCATAATATAATTTTAATGAAGCAGCAAAATATCAGCTATTAATATTTCACAAAGTTTTTCGCTTAAATTCGCTGAGTAATTACATCACACATACATTTTCTATTCATATAGTGGTAACATGATACAAGCTTAATTTCTTTATTCTATATGCATGTTTCGAGGTAAGATGATCGCACAACAATACTTTTTGTCATAATATGATTATTACGAACAAACGTCACATTGCAACCTAGAACACTACTGACGCGACAAGGTCTTTCCGCAGATAAGAGAAAACCCGTAGCCATTATAACGGGTTAAAATTTACATTTTGTTTTTAAATGGGAAGACGACATCCGAGAAACGACCAACCTTCGATAAGTTTGTAGACCCGTTACATGTACAAACAATCGATCAATACCGTCAGTAACAGACAGTAAAAGACATGCACGCATCTCATTTCTCTTTGAGTGACATATAAATTGTCAATCTAACGATATTGCTAATGATATAATAACTAATACATCTGTTTGCAGGTTCATTTATAATTGTTTTTCAGATGTGAAAATGTACATTTAAGCTATTCAAATTTCTAGACCGATATATAAACGTCGACCTGTTTAATTAATGCTAAATAATGATCAGGAAAACTGAGTCAAGGATGCAATAAATATGGCTGCTATGTATAACTATAAACGTGAGATGTTTTATTTATGTGAGAAAATTTATAATGACGCACAAAATAATTGGATACCATTTTAATTGCACTTCTTTTTTGTCGATAATATATATTATGGTATTTATATTAACCGTTGCATATATAATTAAATATCTATATCAAGTATCACATTTAATATCTATTTAAATATATATAACATTTAAGTATAATATAATTTTATTATCCATATCGACAAACATTTATTGATTTAATTCGAACAATTTTTTATACGCATCAAATTTTTATTAATCTTCTAAATAGTGCTTCAAACATAAGAAATAATTTTCATAATATTATAAAATTAAAAGAAATACATTTGATTAATGTCTTACTTATATATTTATGCTATACTAAAATATTTTTTCGTAAATATATAAATTGTTCGCAATTATTTTTATCAAACTTAAATATAATAACAGACTCGATATTTTTATATCTTTTCATGAAAAACGTCTAGTAAATAGTTACAAAATATATTTTTTAATATTTTTTACATTCTTTAGTATTATATGTCAAAGAATATATTCCATATCACTAATATTTTTACAACAAAATATTTTTTGTCATTGTAAGAAAATTCCTTTGAATTACGAGTAGTTATAGCTACTTTACACCAAATTTGGTGTAAAGGACGTTAAAAAATTCGACGTCTTTTTAACTAGTGATTTCTCACTGAGTATATATCTAATGATGAAACTTTAGTTGTTAACTCTGATCGCTTATTTAAAGAGTGTTAGAAAGTGTTTTATTCTAGAAAAAAGAAGAGGGCCTATTTTATTTCGTAAGAGAATACATTGCAATACATTGTGTTTTATTATGTTAGAAAGTTCCTGGTGAGGTACACGTTTGCATCGATTTTGCACTGTGTTAGTTGCATTTTAATAGGCGTCCGTCAAGAGCCATGAATGACTTACTGACACCCACGTGTCTTTTGTACAGTGTCATAGTAATAAACAAGAAAGGACACAAAAAAGAAATCCAAGGGGAAATATATGCAAAGGCGGAAACGTCGAATCATCAAACAATACCCGGAGCCAGATAACACTACGAGGCGTGGACGAGTAGGTGGGGAAGACACGAGACAGACACGATGTGCAGAATAAATACTGCCCTGAAATCGAGCGGAATTCAGTTGCACTCTTAGTGTACTAACGACATTAACTCTAGTCTGATTATTGTGAGGAATCCTTGTTCACGCGCGGACCTTTATTACTTGGCATCACTTTACTAATTTATTAATTAGTAGCACCTCGACACCACAGGACTCTCAATCATCAGTTTGTAATTTCCCATCGGAATCCATATAGACCTGCTGCGAAACTTCATCGTCGAGCAGGCCATGATGTTATCGTGTCGATATTTCTTCATCTCTACCTTTGCAACCATCGCGGCCGCCACTTTCTTCGGGTATTTTTTGCTTGAAAAATATATTCCTCAACTCTTTCAAAATCGCGCACTTTATACGAAAGAAAGTTTAGTTTTATTTACATAGTATAAATACGTAAAATTGTTCCTTATTATAGTATCTGTTAGATGTAAAAAGCGCGCGGTATCTTAGTTTTATTAATAATTAAATAAATTTCTGGGATATTTATATATATATATATATATATATATATATATATATATATATATATATATATATATAAATATGAATTTCTCATTTTAAGTTTTAAATGTTGTGTTTTTCCTATTTTAACATATCTATCATGAATCTAGTAGCACTTCTGCAAGAAAATTATATCATTTTGTATTGCTTTATTATTTCATTGGTTACTTAATTACTAAATTGTTTGATGTGAGGGTTGCTAATCCGGTTTTAGAAATACCATAAACGCGAAATGTACGAGTCCGACTACCCGAAAATATCTTATCTAACCGGTGTCATTGTCCACGAGTTACCTCTTGTTTCTATCCAGTTTCGGCGCAATGACTCCTGAGGAAGGCAACCCGCGACAATTCAACGTTTATTGGAACGTGCCCAGCTTTGTATGCCATAAATACGGTGTGAAATTCGAAGATCTTAAGGATTTTGGAATTCATCAGAATGCAAATGACACATTTCGTGGTGAAAAGATCGCGATTCTTTATGATCCTGGAATGTTTCCGGCGCTGTTGACCGATAAAAATGGTAAATCGAAAATAATTTTGTCATCATAAATAAAATTGCTCCAAAGCACATCTAGAAAAGATTATGAAACATTTTTCAGACATCTCTTATAGACGCTCTATTTTATTTATAACTTCTATTTTCAATTTTTTAATCTTTCCAAAATTTTTACGTTATCATTCTTATCAGTTTTTGTATTTCCAGGAGTTGTAACAAAAAGAAACGGTGGCGTTCCCCAAGACGGTGATTTGAAGGCACATCTTGCAATATTCCGGGAGCATTTGGTCAAGCAAATCCCTGACGAGTCATTCAGCGGTGTCGGTGTGATAGACTTCGAGAGCTGGCGACCAATCTTTCGGCAAAATTGGGCCTCCCTCGAACCCTACAAGACTCTGTCCATAAAACTGGAACGTGAAAAGCATTCGCTTTGGAGCGACGCGGCTATCAAGAAGGAAGCAAAGCGCCGTTTCGAAAAACACGGCAGGATATTCATGGAGGAAACTCTGAAGGTAGCGAATAAGCTTCGATCTAAGGCCACCTGGGGTTACTACGGCTATCCGCATTGCTTCAATCATAGTCCTGGCCAACGCAACGCGCATTGCAATCGGCAGACCATGGCGGAAAACGACGAGTGAGTAATATGTCCGACGAATCGATAATTCGACATCTGATAGCGAGGGTATAATTTAGTAGCATACATATGTAAGTGCGTTATTATGCTTTACGCGGAACGTCATTATGCTTGGTCGATCTCTAATACCCAGTCAGAAATGATAGATAAATCAACGTCGAATCGACGTCGAATTGATGTTGAATCGATGCCGTATTGGTCGAATCGATATTGATTCGACATCTTTTCGACCGATTATTTCTGACTGGGTAGATAATCTCGCGTTATTCGCGGTTTAACATTGAAGTCGGTATTAACTGGTCGCATTATTGCCTGATAAAATTTATATTGTTTAATTCGCCGGTTGATTTATGATAATGCATGGATCGCGTATTGAGATTACGCGAGATATTTACGATTAAATAGGTCAAGGAGAATAGTACAGAGCGCTAAAAATCGGAGCGACTCGCACTTTCGCACGCGGTGTGTTATCTAATCGCGGAGAGCGATAAAAGGACGGTCGGCGTTTCAGAGGATCGGATAATCACGGGTAATAATTTTCGTAGAATATCTTGGCTTTTCACACTCGAGGACGTGCACATGCCTTCTGTGTACTTAAGGCAGGAGATTAAAGAGGTGGATCGGGTAGGCTTCGTCAAGGGTAGAGTGTCGGAGGCGTTGCGAATGGCGCAGAAGAGTTCTCGTAAACAACAAGTTCTTCCCTATCACTGGTTCAAGTATCAAGATCGCAGAGATGAATTTCTCAGTGAGGTGAGTTCTTCCGAACTTCTCGAGACATCTTGAAAATATCAATATTGATCCTGGAAATTTGTCCGCGCAGAAAGATACGGAGAACACGATCAACACGATTGTCAGCCTGGGCGCTGACGGCATGATCATTTGGGGTAGCTCCGAAGATACGAACACGGAGACGAAGTGCAAGGATCTGCAGCAATACGTGAGAGATGTCATAGGACCGGCGATAAAGCGGATCAAACGACAATAGTGCATATTTATTGATAGAAACGACATAGTTGCGCAAGTACAACTAACAGTACAAATGATTGATTGTTATTTCATGTTTTAATTTCTCAGTTCCTATATAATATGATCTGACATATTTATATTTTCAACATTCTTATGTAACTACATTTAGAGATTTGAACAAAATGTAAGCAAAATACTAGTCTCTGAAAAAAATATTGAAGAGCCGTATAGATAAATATCGGGAATCATAGACCAAGATTGAGAGAGAAAGAGAGGGAAGCACGATCGAACCAGCAGTTTTCAGCTGCTCCGAATTCTTAGGGACCGGCAGCAGCCCTAGTGATCTCGTTAACGTCGGTGGAGGCGCGCGACCTGGCGTCCCGGCTCATCATCCCCGAATCCTCCTCTTCGTCACCTTCGCATCGCGCTCCGCCTTGAAACGGGCGATTGCGCACGGTCCGGTCTTACGATTACGACGAGGACGATGAGTGCGCGCGATGCTAGGCGTACGACAAGTTTTACTGGTTCGCGATGTAACGCCTCGGGCGGTATGCTTTTTACAGTACACGCGACGCGTTTTCTGTAGAGAGGAGGTGGTAGTCAGCAAATCTCTCTTGCTCACACACGGTCTGATCTCTCTCCCCGTTCTCGCATTCGCCTCGCTGTTGCCCCCGTCCTTTCTCTCGGCTCTGTCGCACCTGCGGAGAATGTCGATCTCGAGGCGCGAGATCGACGAAGAGGGAGAACGGAACGGGAACCGAACGCGCGCACCGCGAGTAGAAGGAGAAGCTGAAGGGGAACCCGGTGGTGGAGGTGGAGGAAGAAGAAGAGATGGAGGCTGCGAGCGGGCGGGCGGGAGGTTCTGGAGGAGAACGGAACACGAGAGATCGGCAGCACAGTTTCGTGCTCAGCTTAGCTCGGTTCGGCTCTCAGCCTTGTGATATCGGAAGCCTTCAAGTACTTGAAAGGTCGAGGTTCTCGTACTCCATCTCGAACGGATCTATCTGACCGGAAACAGAAAACCCGAAGATTACGAACCTCTCTCTCTCTCTCTCTCTCTCTCTCTCTCTCTCTCTCTTTATCCGCTTGCGAGAGAGGCAATATTCCTGGTCGGTCCAGCGGTGACTAGAAGACCTGTTGCTCTAGGTGCTCTCGCGAGAAAACCGGCAGCGCGTTGGTGCGCAGTTCGCGGGCGAGACAGCGACAACAACGGTGACGTGCAAACCGAGGTGAGTGACAGTCCCTCTGCAGAAGAGCCAAGGCTTCCCGGATCGGTGATAGACTTGAGACGCGAGCGTCGCTCGACTCGATTCACGTTACTCATTTAAAATAATAATTTCTTCTTTTTTCATCGGCTGCTGCGACTCGAACCTGATCCAGCTGTCGACGAGCAGCTTGCGAAAATCGCTGACTCGTCGGAAAGAGTCTGCATTCAGCAAGAGATCGTCTGTCTCTTGCGAAATTCGAAACGCATTCGTGCTCGCGTGTACTTGTGTGCATGTGCATTCGTGAATTGAATGCGTGCGTTTCCTACGCGTGTGCATATACATACATATATGTGTGTATATATATATATATATATATATATATATATGTGTGTATATATATACGCAGCAACGTACACATGCACGCGTATTATCCGTATGCGTACGTACGGCGCGATCGACGTACTCTCATTGCTTCGGAATTCTGTATAAATCAATGGAGGATTGCGAAAGCTTCGGTTCCCATTCCAAGTGCTCGATTATATATTAATCATTTAGAGGCATCACTAAATATGGACGGGTTCAAATAATGGTATAAATGGTATAGTTTATATTTCTTTTAATTTCTTAAATACATTTTAACGCTCTGTTCTGCAGCCTTCCTTAAGAGTTTTTTTCCGAATTAATGAGCGTCTCTCACTGAGAAAGCGAAAACTGTCTCTTCTTGCTCTGTTATTCAAAGAACATTTTATTCTATTACCGAGGATGGTGTACTTTATGTAGTTTATCGCACACGAATACCAGTGCGCTTCGAGGCTTGTATTGGTAAATATCTTGGATATCTTTGATAAATTTCTGCTTTGAGAAGCAAGGAATCCAACACCAGCTGATCGAGTTACGGCGATCGCGGTTCTCTTCCAAAGTGTGGATGTGGGGCCTGAATACTCGAGCGATATACAGAAGCACCCTATCCAAAACGCTTCGGCCACTAATCCTAAATGCCCTCAGACCCCTATTCCAGACTTAATGATAGCTCTTCTTAGACGCAACAGTTAAGTTCCAAGCTAAACTGTTGCGCGGTAGCGAACCCATAATCGGTTCCTTTCTAACAGAGACTGTCCGCGATTGGTCCATAGCTCGCAGCTACCGTCCAACTTAATTGCTCGATTTCATAGGTGTCCGACAAGGCGAGAATATCGGAGTTTCGATTCCGAGTCAGTCGCGCCGATCAAACGTTGCAATATTTCTCACGTGCATAGAAATGTATCGTCGATACAAAAATCTTCATTGAATAATGATTGATCTGTTGATAGGATATAGGATTCTAAACTCTTCTTCGTTTTCTCTTTCTTATGAAAAGAAATTATGCTACCGACATTTTTTTCAGTAAGACATACGCTGTCATGTATATTTTTTCATTTATTGTAAACATTTTCTGTTATTATTATAGAGGCATTTTCTTAACATGTCACGTTTTTCTTCAATAGTTCTTATATGAAATATTAAAGAAGCGCTTTCTACAGAAAAATTGTGATGAACGTGTAACTGGATATATTTTCAAACAACAACACCGATCGAAAGAGGACAAATAATTCGCAATTTGTCCCTCCTTATTTTTCGCGTGAGCGAGGAAAAGAGAAGAGTGCTAAAGGGGTCTCGGCCGCGGGCGAAAGGGCGGATCAAAGGGGAAGAGAGGGATTTAGTAGCGCCAGAAGTAGCGGGCAGGCTCGAGGAAGACGAAAGGGCCCGTTTTAAAGAGGCGAGCATTAAAAACAACAATGTCATTACATTTTAACGACCTGTTCTTTGGCTGTGCCCTCCCTTTTAAGAGCGTTCGTTTGCAGGTATGTGGTCCGCGCGCTCACGGGGGCCAACCACATCGCGCCAAGGGGGCCCCTAAAGCGTCGCGCACACGAGTCGCGTGTGCTGCGCGCACGCGGGGCCACTTTCGTCATCTACCTCCACCTCCTTTCGACATTCGATATGAAACTAGAACTCGGTGGGATAAGAGCAAGGGAAGCGAATTTAACTTTTTATTTCAAACGCGGAAATTGAACTAACGGAAGAAGAACAACACGGTTGTTTCGATATCAATATTTGGGGTAAACAAGTTTCCTCCCTTATGTTTTTCCGTGTCTTTTATAGATATAGAAAAATATTCCGTATATATAAAAGATATGATACTTTTTGGCGAATAAATTCAAATCAAATAAACACCGGAGCACTTTTTATTACTATTTTATCATAAAAGACTGGAGCAAAGCTCGTATATAAGTTTTCTTCCGCCTGGCTCGTTTTTCCTCTTCGACCCCTTCTCACGGACTCCGTTGATTCGTTCTCCACACGCGTTCCGGACACGCCGTGCAGCTCGCGAAGAATTAGTATGGGCGAAGAAACAAAAGCACGAAAAAAAAACCCCCACGCACACGGTGGGGACGGCGACGGCGAAGAAGAAGGAGAAAAAAAAGGAGCCGAAATGGCGCCACACGTCCAGCGTGTTTTCGGGGCATCCCCCGGTGCTGTTGGCAAACTCCTTTTTTCGGCGCCGTCCGTCTCCCTTGCGCGCCCGCCCGTTCCTGGTTCTCCCTTAAGAACCCCTCGTTTCTTCAATCTCTCTCTCTTTCTTTTTCTCCCTCCTCCTTTGGATATCGCGCGATCCGCACCCTCGCGCGGCCGACTCCTCTTTTATTTCCTTACTCTTCCTCGATCTTTCAAGCTCACCCTGTGTATCCGCGGGCGATCTATTAGTTCGCCCAGGGTTCGCCCGATACCTCGAAGAAAAGCAAAAAAAAAAGGAAATAGAAAGAAAAATATCGGACACGCCGGCGTCCCAGCAAAATGTGAAATTAGGGTATGTCAAAACAGGAGGTGGAGATTTTCATTAAAATCAATGGGGAAGATTAAGGGCCGAGACACCTAATTATGGATATATCACTCGCCGTCATCTCCGAATCGCTCGGCCATGCACCGGATCATTAAGTTCGGGAGATTGAACTTCGGATCTCTCTTTCTCTTTCTCTCCCCCGGCGAGATATTATACACGAGACCGCAGGATAGATTGGCGCACGCATGAATCCGACACGCACCAGAAGAGAGGCAGGAATAATATTTTTTCTCGCCGTGGACAGCTTCATCACGAAACAAATCGTCGTTAGTGCTCGCTCGCGACCCGTGACCCCTGCATGCCAGACCATATATGTCGCTTATGGTTGTCGAGAGGACCGGTCGGAGTTACGTGGAGAGAGAAAAGATTATACGCGATAGATTGAAAAGTTTCGATCGCGAAGATGTACGAAAATCTGTGAGTGTCCACGAAATGCGGATGACTATATGAGATCTCTTTTCACTTTTTATTCCTTTTATTCCTCGATACACTTATCGGTGCTCTGACGCAAAATGCAGCTCTAGGCAATGATTAATATATATTTTTAATATCGCGATAACTCGGTGTCATCATAAAAGACTGGAGCAAAGCTGATGATACTTTCCTCTTCCGATTTCCTTTTTATTTAATCAAAAATAATGAAAGCGACACACAAGTGTTACATAATATTTTAGCTTGAATTATAAAATGATTTTCTATCAATTACATGAAACGTGTGCGTTCGTAAGAACGTAGCTGATCAAAGAAAATGCAATGGCTTCCTCGCTGCTGATGTCATCGATATGTATACTTCATTATCTCGACGTTTGCTATACGCGATCTAATATTTAACGCTCTCAACGTTAAAACGCCTGCGATACGTATCGCGCTTTTATAACGAACGCATCATCGGGCGCTGCGCTGTCGACGGAGAATAGATAAAGAAGGATCAACGGGGGAGAGAATCGATGGAAAACCGTCGGAGATTTCGACCATGGCACACACATGGGCGGACAGGCGCGGCGCTCTTTGTGCCGGCACCGCCTAGGCTCGGGGGCGCGTCAAATTTGCTTGAAAATCAAATTAATCTCGCGGCTGGGTGCAGGACCCTCTCGCTCTCTCTTCGTTCATCTCTTCTCGCTTCGATCCTATTGTCCTCCTGCTCTCTCCCATCGTATTTCTTTCTCTGTCTCTCTCTCTCTATCTATCTTCTCTCGAGGACACGAGCAAATCGAAGGCACGGGACCGAGATGGAGGCGAAGAAGGAGGTGGGCCTCGTAGGTCCTCCGTGCCACCGACACGGACCCAGAGGCGAGAAGAGAAGGTGGCGCAGCAACAAAGAGCTTTGGACTTCTGGCTTCGGCCGTCACAGGGCCGTAGCCACTTTATTTCCTGGCAAAATGTATCCCTATAGCACAACACACCCGAAGAACGTTCAGAGGACGTTCAAACATCTTCTGGATGTTCTCTTTCGGATATGTGAGCTGTTAGGAGTAAATGCCTACATTGGTGATATTAGAGATGCTGAGGATCATTGCGCTTGTATAATTGAGAGAACCAGATCGGATGTATTTTTTATCGAATTATATGTGTGGGAATAATATTAAATAGTTTTAGCCAGAAAATGATTGTCGAATCGATTGGGGATGATTAATATTCCTTCTGAATTATCATTCTGTACGGATATGAAGAAACAGACAAATTGGATTAATCATGGTTATAAGATTATGAATTTTAAATGTTTGTAAAATATTGATTGAAACTGCAAATCAGTTAAGTGTTTCGTAGAATGGTATACAAAGTTCAATTTTACGAAGACTTTCACGTGCATCTCAATTTTATATCATATTTATTGTTTGACTTTATTTCCTTGTTCGGGATAAATGCAGGGGTGATGACAAGCTACGATAGTCTTATCGCGGCTCTTTTCATAAGTCTCAGGTCCAGCGCGAGATTCGTGAAGCTCGAGTACGTCCCTGTTGCATCCTATTCGGTCATTCAAATCTCCGCTCGTAGAAATGAGACGGGCGGCCGCATCGTGTTGCCCCACACCTTTGCGGTCTCGAAGCATACAGGGTGATTCAACAAGAATTACTCGAGAGGCCTAATTTTTGAAACGTGATACGTTTCTCCGGATTTCTCAAGTTGCATCCTGTAAACAAGAACCCAAGCAAGAATAATAAGATCCATCCTTGCGATACGATAAATTTGACGGTATTATTGAAAAATCTCATCGCATAGATTACGACAATCGCGGATCGATCCATCGAATATTTAAAACACAAATTACTATTTTCCCTCCAGGTCACTTCTGATAATCAGCTTCTCTAAAATTGATAAAATCGGCGTAGTCCCGATTGCATCGTAGTTCTCGGAATTCGGAATAAAAGACGGGAGATCGGAGAGATTTTGCGTGAGAATAAAGGGGAACGAAGGGTTGCGTTGAGGAGCAAAGAAAAAGATCCTCCTGCGAACCGAATGCGTTCATAGGAACGGGAGATGTACGGGGGAATAAGAGGAAAAGAAGATGTGAAGGAAGACGAGGAGAAAATGAGGTGACGCGCGGAGAGAGACGGAGGGGTAGATCGGAATCGAAATGCATCCGTGAGCAAAACGGCGACGAAGACGAAAAATCGATCCTCTCTCTGGAAATGCCGGCGACCAATTGTCCGGCGAGGGACAAGATTCTTGCCGTTGTCAGGAATTCAGCTCGCGAGTCCGACGAGGCTCCGACGACGAGGACGTGAATCCTTCGAAGGACGACAAACGCACGAGAGTACCTATGCAACGTCGCGGGATCTCACGATTTTAGTTCATTTTTTTTCGGAGCAGCCGAAAAAGCGACGAAGTCAACGTAATTGGAACCACGTCCTCCTGATTCGACACTCGTATCGATGTAGCTGTGGTTGGATCGCGGAAGATTTAATTTTCGATAAGTCGAAACGTTCGTAACAAGCATATTTAAAAACTTGGAACTTTTTGTGCTTGATATAAAGATCTACGTATATTATTTTCTTTAAACATATGTATATATTTTTATCAATTTTATTTTATATCGGTATTTTTTCTATTCTTGATTCTTCCCCTTAGAATTGCCACCAAGTTCGCGCACGTGTGCATGTGTGTGTGTGTACATGTAATCCCTTTTATATTTAAATTATCTCAAAAGAGATAAATTATATGTTACGTGTCAACTTTATTTTACTCTTTTACGTCGGCAAAATTTTTTTATTTGCCGAATCTTAATCTCCATCGTTTTTAGCTTGTATTTAAATGAAGAGCACGTTCTTCTATCTTTTATCTTTCGCGGGCGCCTCACGTCCAGGCATTCCCTGACTTTAAAATTATTTACATCGCCGGAAGGAGTTCATCGCGTTCTCAGGTTCGTTGCTTTAAATCCGCCGCTATTTATGGCGGGGATGTCTACGACGAATTCCCGCCTATACGCCAAGCTTCGAGGATACAAGAACTTCTTTTATCTCGAGATCTCGGAAACTTAAACTCGAGCATGCCACATCGAGATCGGAGGATCGGCCTTAACTAACGATCTATGAATGAACCACGTCGCGCCATCATTCGACAACGAGAACTCGTTCCTTCGTTGGCGCCGAAACGGGCGGACCATAACTTTCAACGCGTCTTTTTACGGATACTTGGAGGTCGCGCGCGCGAACCATCTAATTAACTCTTCCCGGTAGTGAAAGTAATTTATTCAAATATTATCTTCCTCTGTCACATTTATACACTTTACACAATTGCTTAGATTGATATTTTAATATCGCGACTTTAAAATCTGGTTCTCTCTCATCATCAACATACTGTAATTATATGAATAAAGTTTATAAATATTAAGAGAGTGCAATTTTTTTTCTTTCTCTCTCTCTCTCTCTCTCTCTTACTGCGTTTTGCTAACTTTCTGTAACTCAATTTCGTCTGGCCATTGAACTTGAAAACCTCTGAGCATTTCTTAACAATGAGCGTATCTTAATGATTTTTATAGTAACGTTGCGCTATTATTCATTCGAAAAGATAATCACAATCTTCCAAAACATCTGACACATCGGAGACTGCAATCGTCTCGCCAATTCGTAGAAAAGATCAAAATTTGCATTCAGAACCAGCTCTCTCTTCTCTTCATCATTCTACTTCCACCACGATAACTCTTCGGCGATGTAAAGAATTTTGTTATTATGACTACATCTCATTTTCACAGAAATAAATATGTGATTTCTTAGATATGTGAATTATTTTACTTGCTGTATCCAATATTGGAGCGATTTGAATATCTCTATTTCTTTGCACTGTTTCAGGAATCATGGGGACGATAAGACGGCTGTCTACAATAATGGTGTTGTTAATGATGCATTCCGCTCAGCTCGATGCTCATCGTGAACACAAGGTTTGTCTTCGTCTCTTGATAAAATCTCTGAAAATTAATTTATTTTAATTGTATATTCTTTGGCTGAAACTTGTACAAAAAATTTTACCTTTTCTCATAATATTAAAAGAGAGAATTTAATGTTGTAGAAGCTTGACAAATTGTTATTGATATGTATACAGATAAATTGTATTAATAAAATGCAGGTATGTCTTAGACATTTTGATCCTTTTCGAATCCGTATTATAATAAATAATGCAAACACAATTAAGTTTAAAAAAATTATTATTAATAAATTTGGAAAAATTATGTACATATATAATAAGATAATTTCTTCAGCTTATCTTTAAATAGATATGTTAGATAAAACTGACTCTAATAAAATCTCTAGGTTCACAATATCGTGCTGTATCCAGATAAGCATAGCTGGTGCAAAACAACACCGATAAAGCAAGTAGTGACATGGCCTCAGTGCTCTTCACAGGAATTGGACAATAATGTATGCGTTGGTGCTTGTTTCTCGTATATGGTCCCTCATAGCGAGCCTTCTGCACCCGGTGATCTCATAAGACCTTACTGCGATTCTTGCCAACCTCTGGACAGCGTTTGGCACACTGTAAGTATATGAAGTAGGACAGGAAATGAGATTAAAAATAATTGATAATTAAAATTTTATCTCTTTTAAAAATCACATTGCGTAACGCTGTTCCTTAGATTTTGAAATAAATGATTTATATCCGTTAGAAAGATTATCATGTTAATTAAAAAAAAATAGAACGCACTTCTCCGTAATCTAATAATAATACTTCCCGAATTTAATTAAACTGCGTCACTTAATTATTATCTGCTGGATACTTTTTATTTGTTTTTAGTTTATATATATATATATATGTTAGTAAATCAATCATATTTTTTTGCAACCTGTTTATTATTTCTATTTGCAAAACTAATTTAAAAAAATTAAATTTAGGAAATCCTCAATTTGTTTAAATCGTATCTTTACAATAAATAACACAAATTAATATGTCATAAAAAAATTATAACACGTTTATTTGTTTTTGACCAAAAAGTTAAATCGAAATCCAATATTAATTTGTGATCAAATTAGTACTAAATATAACAAAATATTTTAAACTGATTTATATATGTAGAATATAATTAATAAGATTTTAAAAGTGTTAACAAGTACTTGCCACTTCTCAATAACTTTCTTATTAAAGATTATTTTGTATTATTCGTTGCAGGTAACACTAGACTGTAAAGACGAGCAGAAAAATCCAGTGACCATGCAGAAGAAAGTGCAGATTATCACAAACTGCTCCTGCAGCTCCTGTATGGAAACCTCAAAAATCAAACCGGACTACAATACTCTGCTGCAGTCTCTGACGGAGGAAAACTTGGACAAGAACGTAAATGTAGCACATGAAACACCAGATTTACTACTAGATCCGAATTTGAATGCTTCGAAGAACACGACTAGAGATGGAACTCAGACTAACGAACGATTTCTTCAACTATTTAAGAAATTTAAAGAGTCGCAGAAACTGAACGAATCCGGTTTAAAGGAATTCGCCAAATTCGAGGAGGAAAAGATCGATTTGGAGATGCTGCGGGAGATGTTTAAAAAGTATAGCGAGGGAGACGAAGAAGAAGGCCAGCACGAACATCATCATCAGCACCAGCATGAGCATCAGCATCAGCATCAACATCAGCAACAACAGCAACAACACCTACATCGCGGACCCCATCACTCTCTGGTACTAGACTCGGACGTAAAGGAAAAGATCGACGTGGAGCCGCATTATTTGCATCCCGCTGTTGCCGGCCAAGAAATTAGTTATCACGACAACATTCTTGTAGGCAAGGAAAAAAAGAAGAAAGATTTTTAAAAGCCTGCCGGAAATTCGTCGTCGCACGGATGTCATCACTCTTCAAAATTCGTAGGAATTCGTTCGAGATTTTTAGCAAACGCGTTTTTATCGCGTCTAGATAGTATTTGATAAGTAAACAATTTGGACCTAATACGCTATCTGATTTTGATATTTCTACATATTTATTTCCGTAGCGATAATTGGAGCATAAGATATTAATTGTTGATATTTATTACGATAAAATTATTTTTGCAAAGAAAGATGTCTTTTACAATATATTCTATAAGAAAGCTTATACTATATGAAATAACTAGAAAATAATGCGAATTAAAAATAAATGTGAACATGATGTTTCAAAATTAATTATATCGTTATTGGATTCGCTAATGAGGATGAGAAAGAGAAATAGCAAGAGCTTGAGAAAATGGAAAGATTGGAAGTGTATGAGAGAAAATTTTAATATATATTTATATATATAATTGTTATTATGTTAATTAATTATTTAAAAAGTTGCAGAGCGCAATTTGGTGTTTAACTCAACTTTAAATACATAGAGTGACACTTTATCGAGATCTACATCTCGATCGATGAACATATGAATAATACTCTCGAGATTGAATATCAGTCTTGACATGACGTCAATTACTATGACGTATACATTGTATTATTCTCCTAGAGAATAAAGACCATCGATGGTATGTATTACTTACTTCACTTATGCCTCTTTAATGTGATTCCTACATAATGTAAAGATTTTCCCCATTTTATATTCTGTACCACCTGCCCCCTTTTTCTCTCTTATCTCTTTCTTACATTTCTTACATTTATATTTATTATTAATAATATTATGCTATACACGGCGCGTTATATTTATAAACTCAAAGTTTCATCATTTGACATGTATTTTTTCATCTTATATGTATTATTTTCTTAATTTATTCGTTTTCAAGAAAATATTTGTATTTTTCAGCTGATTTGTATTAATCTTTATACTTTCATTTTAAAGTTTTCCCTGGTGTAATTTAACATAAAAACATTTTTTTGTTTGTATAAATGAGCCAGTAATGTTTGAAAGCGAGTATTTAAGCAATGACATGTAAATTGTGCAAGACGTTTTTTATTTGTTTTTTTATAAACACATTAATACTTAGTACTAATATATTAATACCTGGAGTCTTTCTAGTAAATTTGATAAATTAACAAAAGGATACCGCGGATGGAACTATTCAATCTATATTGATGACTGTAATAAGAATAACATTCGTCACAATCAATTCAATGCCATTCGATGACGAGTGATAAGTTTCCGCACGATTTTGAGATATGTAAATCCAGACTGGTATCACGTACAGATACTTTAAAATATCGTAAAAAAATTTTCCAGATAATTGTCATAAACGAATCATCCTCACGTACGTGATGCGCGCAGCGCGTACACGATGAATGAAACTCGCGACCTTCGATCATGATCTCATACAATTCGTCTCAGCGCTATCGAGTCTTGGCGGATCTAGATCGGTTGGCGGGCACGAGTATCGTAACGATAAGAAAGGAGGCGACTTTCGGACGACAGTGGCGGTGGAACATACGTCGTCTGGTGGAAAGAGAGCGGATCGGCGAAGTGCTATATATCGGAGCGCAGTGTCGTCTGGCGTGTCGTCGTCGCACCGTCGTCGCTTTTTCGATCGCGCGATCGCGTCGTGCGCGGGAAGATCGACACGCACCCCCTCGATATTTTGAGGGTGCCAAACGCGATGCACCAAAATCCTATAGTTTTCGATTACTTTTAAGCTACATTTTGCTACTCCGAGATTCGAAAAAACCTTTTTATCATTGCATGACGTTTCGAAATACGAAGTAATAAAAGCGTACGTCTCTTAAACATCGAGATAGAGTTGTATGCAGAAATTTAGATTGGTAATTTAAAGAAATCGGTGGTGATTTAAAGAAATCGGTGGTGATTTAAAGAAATTGTGGTCTCTTAATCTTTCTTCGCTGCACCAGATTCCATAAGTCTAGTTTGACAAACGCAGTGAGAGCTACAACCCGATCCTGAAGACTGAGTGCATGTCCGTCTCGCTAACAAACGAATCATCGCTAAGGACTACGAGAGAAATCGCATCAACCCGCCGTCGATCTTCGTACGACACCAAGATGAATACAATGGCGAACGGTAAGACTTGCGATCATTTATTTAAGCGTGAAACCTGAGCATGATTTATAGCACCGAAGATTGGTCTCGTAATTCTTGTCGAACCGTTTCTTGCTGAACTACCGAACGTTCGCTCCGCTCGTCGATCTACGTCGGTGATTGGTCTTTCGGCCTCATGACTGAAATCTTTAACACATTGCGGTTATCGCTTTGAAAGACTGATTACTCTGTTTTATTTCTACGTTTTAACATGTTTACCATTACGCTTCTGAATTTCTGTAATTTTGTGAGCAAAATTTCTCGGCTTTAAAAAAATTTTATAGTTTCCAAATATTTACAAAATACTAAAAAATTCCTTTAATACATTTGAAGATATTAATCTCATTACTCGCTTTCACTCATATTTATTTGTCTTATTTATGAGGAAGAACCTGTTTAATTATTCATGAGGTGACATAATTTCGTATCGCAACCATCTTTGCAAATGTTCAAGGCGCATCCAATTATCGCATTACATGTTTTGACCGATAAACTATTCTTAGGCAACTAATGAGTTCTATGTATATATATATATATATATATAATCAGTTCTTAAATATTCGCATTCGCTAGTCGCTAGTAAAATAAGAAATATTGAATAGTCGACCAAACTAGCTGAAAATTAAAGTTTATTAATAAGTTTCACGTCGTTTCGATCATGTAATTGTGGTCCTTATTCGAGTGAAAAAGAAAACGCTAATATCGTCGTGAAACTTAATAAAATTTAATTTTGAGCTAGTTTGGTCGAATATTCAATATTCTTTATATATAAATAATGTAACCGAAACGAACTAATGATTAAGTTATGTGAATTAAAAGTAAGAGAAAGTATTCTTGTGAGCAAAGTGTTGTGAGCGAAGTGTGTCGCTTTTCAACAGAATACCAATGCATCTGTAATCTGTTTTTAATTTCCTGTTCTGTTTTTTAAGAGATTATTATCTATAGTGCTTATCTGAGACGATAATAACAAACTATATACTATATTTAAAAGTTATAAAAGATAGCATAGTTTGAAAGGAAAGATTTGATAATTCTTAATAGGAGTCATATATTTTTGCAAGAAATTGCAAAAATTAAATTAGGTTTATAATTCTTTTGAGTAAGAATATATCGCCATCGAATATTTGATGAGCTTTGTCAACAGTTCATTATCACAGAAGAAGATAAACACTCATAAAAATATTAATTATCAAATTAAGCACTCTTTTCACAAAATATTTTTGCTTGACAGTGTGTTAATTTTTATATTACTGAAAATAATACAGACAATATATAATATTTAAAATATAAATTCTTATTGCATAACAATATTCCAAGGTCCACCATTATAATGTAATTTGTATTTAAAATAATTATACTGAATATTTTTCGTAGGGAGAATCTTGTGTTAATATTTCAGAAGATTACATAAATGTGTCTACTCTCTTCCGCTAATTTTTCTTGGTGTGACGTTAAAACACAAAAAAATGCAATTAACGTAATGATCATATAGTCGCGCAAGATACATGCTCGCAACATGTATACATCAATCATCAAAAGAACTTGTGCTCTTACGCAACCGACGATTCTATTTGACATTTCAAACTTGATTATGGTGCGACAACCAAACAGGGAACGTATCTTGAAGTGAATATAAAGTTGTTTACTGTGTGTGTGATAATCTAAACCTCAAATTCAAATGTATAGATCAAGATTATATTTCGCGCAATTCTCGCAGAATTTGCTCCCTCTCCCTTTAAATATATTTTGTATATATATATATATATATATATATATATATATATTTGTCCTAATTAAATATACTTGACATTTCTTTCTCGTTAGATATTTGATGTTACGATATATCAACAAAATGTATGTTATGTGTTTTTTCTGCAGATTTAAAAATTATATTTAGAATTGTTAAATTAAAAAATATATTTAGAATTGTTAAATTAAAATTTTAAGAACGACATTATCCTTGACCTCTGAATCATTTAAAGTCGCGACCGTTTAAATAAAAATGACATTGCTTATTTACTTATATATTCAATTGGTAATAATGTCTCAGCGTTTCATTGTCGACAATTTTTTAATTCTATTTATACTTTAATACTTATATTATTTATGCTATTAAAGCTATACTTTAATTAAAGCGACTCGCTAATTATTTTATCTTCTTCGAGAAAAATTTATTTGTTCTGAGAAATTTCTTTTTTGAAAGTATCTTTTTGTTTTTACTTGTTTTTGTCAGCTATCTATCGCATTGCGATAAAACCCGCTAATTCATCTGATGTACTTTGTTATCACTTAATCGCGAGTTTATATCATGATACCACGATCGTAATTATCGCGAAAGTGTAATTAACAACAGAAACGATCTCATGTATAGATAAGCGGTGAAATACAGCACATAATTTTTATCGTACCGAGAGTTTGCAATGTGTTAGTTTCTACGAATATAAATGCTCACGCAACCTTATCTGTTTATCTAAAAGGAACCATTCATCTGCAAATGAAAGCAATTCCACGAGGCGCTTAAAGAGTCCTTAAATATTATTTTTTTGCAACATCTGACGCCGCGTTAGTCATTTATTGACATCGTGACATCAAAATGATTTGTAATTGTTAAAAATGAATTTAGTAATATAGAAAGAATAAAAATTAAAGTTCAAAATTTTAAAAAATTATCAATTAAGAATTTTATTAAATTAAGATTCGCATCGTTGAATGTCTTTCAGCAAGAGTTAAACGCCTTCTACCGGCTTGGTCAAAGAGCGAAGCTCTTAAAAATACATATACGGTATTTCGAGCACGTGTAGTCGGAACAGTAATGAGTTAGCTAGAATGAAGTATAAGCCACGCGAGTCTGCTTGTTCGATATTCTAAGGATGGGACCTCGTGCGGCGCGAGGGAACACGAGGGAAACAACAATACAATGTAAGACGAGGAGACAAAGTTGTATCGATAAAGACAGCCAATATGGTCAGGGCCAGGAATACATATGAAACATATAGAAGACTGCATACAGTTGCAACCGGAAGTCGAATTATGAAAAAGCGAGTGCCAGAATTGATCAGAAGGGATGATGACGAAGAGACTCATCGGTTGCATTGGCGCTTGCGAAAAATGAGTCATGGTCGACATCGACGGCAATGTTTGATACTCGTCATCGTATAAGTTGAGCAGCTTGTTTGGTAGGGGAAATTCCAGGTACGGCTATACAAGAATAGAAGCCACGTAAATAAGATGTGACACATGCGTTTTATTCAGTTTTTTTTTTTGGAGGAAACAAACATATTTATACTAATATTTTGGATCTCGAAATGGAGAACAATTTTTGCCCGATAATTCTTATCATATTGTGCTGTTATTCCATATACCAATTCAAAGCTAATTAGTTAATGGAGTAATATGAGCCCTATATTTTCCAAATGACATGTGATATAATTTACATCACGATAAATACTCCACGAGGGTGGCATAATATGTTTTAAACAATCAACGATAGACTCGGGCGATAAAACTGTGATAAATTCATCATGAAATGTAAGCTATATCTTGTAATAAATATTTATTAAACGATAACTGTGCTGCAATATTAAATTATTAAAAACTATTGCACAAGAGCTGATAGGACATATTCTGTAACGTCAGTCGTATAGTAATTTGGCGTCGCAGATATAATTTTACGAAAACAAGTATATATATATATATATATATATATATATATATAGATAAAACTTATCTAGCGCTCAATAAACTGTGAATCATCGCACCAGTTACGATAAAGCATTGTAGCATGTAAAGAGTCAATACTTAGTCGCCGCTGCCGGAGCATTGAACTCGATTCCACTCGCGGATTTTGCTCCGACGTGGCACCCTATTTAGGTACATCCCTGCGACCGAGTTTGCCACGACTCAGGGCGCAAGTCTTCCTTTCGGTCGGTCGTACCAGGCGATTTATTCGATTCACTCGCGTTCAGAGGCTGGTCGCAAAACGGAGCAGCTAAACCCCGGCTTCTCAGTTCGCGCTCTTCAATCGCGTGTTTGTCGGTGTACTCTTGGTGAAAAATCTCCTCCAGGTGGAGGAATCATCTCTCGATGATCGCTCGTTGATCGACTGAGCGACATCGTCGACCAGTCAAGAATCTGTCGCTCAGCCAGTCCAGCCGAAGATCAGCATTTTCGAAGCTGAACTCCGAAACGACTGCGCAACGCCGCCATCTTAGCGTGAGCACATTTTTGCGAATTGGATCCACACGCAGCTCATACTGGAAGAACGTGGCAGGTTCTCTGAGGAACAGAAACGTTCTGCGAGGCATTGTATTTCGATCCGCTGGCGACGACATCGCACCACGGATGAGCGCCACGCCGAAGAAACATCAGCGCGCAAAGTGACTTCTCGCAGGAGAGTGGCTTTTTCTTTTCCGTTTCCTAATTTGCGGGTGATCGAAACCGGGATATATTACCACGCATCGGCGCTAACGTGTACCGGCACTATGAGTAAGATGCTAGACACAAACTATCGCACCGTGTTCTCTGTACTTAGAAGTCCCGAGGAGGGTGAAGAGTTTAAACGGATCATCTGAAAGAATTGCGCAACTAAACGAAAATCGTCGTTGTCGCATATTTTCCGCGAGGACGATTCGTGCGTTCGCTAAAGTGATTTGTGTCTAAGTGTTTTCTGAAATAGAGAACTCCTTTTCTGAGTTTTCCACGCGAGTTTCTTATCTCCAAGACGTCACCGTCGACGTAATCGTTAATGTATTAATAGATTCGTGACTCGCAGAAATTTTCGGAGAGCACTCTCTGTCGTAACAGCGCGTAACTATTTGTCGTATCGATCGATTAGATCGGAAGAGGAACTCGCGATTTATTCAGCTCGATCGAACGCGGTAAAATTGTCCCAATAAGAACAAACTATCAGGCTTTTTCAAGGGAAAAAAGACATCAAGTGGACATTAAGTGCGCGGGTGAAAAACCATCGACCTTTCTGCCGATCGAGATATCCCGACGGCAACCCCGGATACTTCTATAACCCGTAATGTATTTGCGATCGCGCCAAGGAGCAGCACAAGGGAGGCACGAGCACACAAGTGAGGCGATAGGAGCTAGTTTAGCGGCCGCGTGCGGTCGCACAGATCTCGGATCTTCGTCGTCCTCGAGGGCCAAAGGCGGGACGAAGAAGAGAGTGACGGCGTGCCGTTACCGCGATCTAGCATCAGCATCGCAGCAGCCGCAACCGCGGCCGCTACGGGCCGGCTTCGTAGGCAGGGGCGCAGATTCGGACCTGGTGTGCCTGAAACGCGGCATGAGCGAAGGTGAACGGGCGGCGATCACGCCACGAATCGGCTGGCGGAAGCTCACCGATCCCGGCGACTGACACGAATCCAGGAAGTCGAGGGCAGCTCCGAAGCGATAGCACCAGCTACCGTTACTCGCTCGTCAGCATCCTCGTTCTCCTATCGCTTTTCCGACGATCGCAATCGCCCTTGAGATCCGTAGGGTAACACCTACGTTATCGTCATCGTCGTCGCGTCGCTTGTGCCAGCTCGATGCCGGCCAGATGCCGGAGAACGTGCCGCCGAGACCCGCCGCGAGAACCTTGAAAAGAGATCCCGAAATGGCGGGCAATCGGTGTCGGTAGCAGACGGGGTTAACGTCTTGTCCCCCAGGAGCACAACCGTTTCAGCGATTTTCATCGCATCTCGTCGTACCGATAGTCTTCGGCAACTGTCTCTCTCTTCTTCTTCCCCTTCGTGTTTCTACGTCCCGGCTGAACTTTCGGTCACGTAGAGGTGACGAAACTCTGTCGCGTTTCCCTGAGACGAGGAGTTGTCACATAGACAATAATTCTTTAGACGTTAAGGCTAGTGCTTAAAATAATATGTAGTAGTAAAAATAAGTAGTGTGTGGGAGGAAGGTCGAGGGAAAGTTCGTAAATTGCACAATCTGCACTTTCCATAATTCTCACCGGTCAAAGACGAGGAAAAAAGAAGGAAGAAAGGAAAAAAGGAAAAGATACGCTAGAGAAAGTGACGGAAGTGGAAGAGCAACGTGAAGGAATTTTCGTCGCTTCAAGAGTCTTTAATTTTCTAAATTTTCTTTTTAATCACATTTCGATCGATTCGCAATTTTCTCAACCACGAGTATGCCGCCCACGCCGAGCAAGTTAAACCTGAGCTTCGCCAGAAATGCTTACAGCGTCTTTGGTGGTCGCAACGCGACCATTGCGAACGAGCATCAACGTGAACAAAAAACGGAATTATTAGAGGGTAAGAAATAAGAGGAAAAAAGAAGAACACAAAATCGTTTTCACAACAATCGATCGTCACGTTTCGCGATTGTTAATACCGCTGACAACTGAAATAAACACGTTAGCATGTTCAGCCTCTCGTTATTTTACTATACGCGACTATCCTTGGGTATGACTGTACAATTTCCTCGTCCTCTCTCGTTCTCCATAATTTAATACGATCGAGAGTATAAAGGCCACTCGCAACGTCGTTATTGTTAGAAACACGTCGCGTTTTGCACGCGCCCACATTGTACCGTATCTTTGATAACAAGTAAAAAATTTTTACAAAACGTGGAGAAACGAAAAAGATATCAATCTAATAAAATCCGCGATTGATGAACACGCGAACGTTCGCAAAACGCGCGAATGGCAGCTCATTATAATCATGTTGGCGTTATTTCAGGTACCAGGACGAATGGTCTTCAACATTTGAAGAATGGCGTGGATTATATCAATCCTGGCGAAGAGGACCAGATGGAAATTTACGGGTAAGTTGTTCGCACGTTACGTCACATTATTCTAAGTGAATTCTCCTTTATTGTACGTAATCCGCTTAATCTCCTCTTATCGTCGTTATAGCTACACACAAAGTCGCCTATGGACCGTTATTATATGGTTCTTGATTATCATTACCGGAGGTCTCTTGAGGCTGATTTTTCATTGGGTGCCACATCTAATGCTCCAAGCCACTCATTCCAAATGTTCCCTGGAAGAGGCGGAAACCGTTTTGTTGATTGAAAGATTTCAAGGGAAACACACGAGTTACTATGTGAAGAGACTGAGAGTCTTGACCGCTCGGGAAGTTATGTCAGTATACTTTAATATTCCTCGCCTTTAAACATCAACGAAATTGCAATGCTAACAATTTTTATTTTATTCCACAGTAATAAATCCTTTAATGAAGAATCTCTAATTGATGAAGCATGGGACGGCAGTACACTAACAATCAAGGAAGAGAAGGAAACCTATCCGACGTTGACTGTACATCTTTGCGGCGGTCAGTTTAAACGTAAGTAAATACTAGATTTAAAAAAGAAAAACAGTAACTTGTACGCCTTTCCAATATAATTAACGTAGTGATATTATATATTTTCAGAGGTGCCATCCATCACCACCTTTAACTGCAAAAAGTTGACCTACATCTGGGACCAGGAGAGATCAGAGTTTTTGAAACTGCGCGGCCTCGACACCGATGTTTTGACGTCCACGTTACATCAAGCGCAAGGTCTTGATTCTCAGGAGCAGTATATGAGGTAAAAATCGAATCAATCACTTAATAAAAATACTGCATTATAAAATGCACAAAATGATAATTTGTATACAGTACAATTAATTAATTAATTTATGGTGACAGACGTAATGTCTACGGTAACAATGAAATCGTGATTCCCGTAAAAAGCATATTCACGCTACTCTGCCTCGAGGTGCTTAACCCGTTCTACGTCTTCCAACTATTCAGTTTTTGTCTGTGGATTGCGGACGATTATTATTACTACGCCATGGTCATTCTCGGGATGTCAAGTGTCGGCATTATGATGGCAGTTTTCCAAACTCGACGGGTGAGTCATTCTACTTTAGTATCTTGCTCGTCATTTTACAATATTTAAAGTTGCAATCATCCAGAAAATAACCTAATTCATTCACTATTTTTAGAATCAGCAAAACTTACGCTCTACAGTGCATTCGTCCGACGTAGCTACCGTCATGCGTGATCGTACGACTGGTCAAACAGCAACTGTTCCAGCTGAACGTTTAGTTCCTGGAGACGTCTTGGTCATCCCTTCTCACGGATGCCTGATGCCATGCGATGCTGTCTTGCTAACAGGCAATTGTATACTAAATGAGTCTATGTTGACGGGAGAATCCGTGCCCGTCACAAAGACACCAGTTCCTTCCTCCAACGATGTGATATATGATACCAAAGAACATGCCAGGCATACTCTCTTCTGTGGAACCAGAATTATTCAGACAAGATATTATGGCAGCGAAAAAGTATGTTAACTTCTTGTTAACTTAAAAATATTCTTTCTCTTTCTATATTTTTGCAAATTTTTATATAATTTAGATAAATATTAAACCTAGTGAAAATTTATTATATTACAATAATATTTATATAAATATTTTATTATTAATTATTTGAATAATTAAACATCGCGTATGTTTTGTTAGGTATTGGCGGTAGTTATTAGAACGGGTTTTAACACCAGCAAAGGTGGCCTGATACGATCCATCATGTATCCTCCGCCCGTAGATTTCAAGTTCGAACAGGACTCGTACAAGTTTGTCATATTGTTGGCGTGTATAGCTAGTATTGGCGTTGTTTACACTATCATAACAAAAATTATGAAAGGCGTTCATAGCAGTCATATAGCTCTGGAAGCGTTAGATCTCATCACTATCGTGATACCGCCGGCATTGCCAGCTGCCATGACAGTGGGACGTCTCGTAGCGCAACGTAGATTGGAAAATAAAAAGATATACTGTACGAGTCCGAGAACGATCAACGTGTCCGGCTCCATCGATTGCATTTGCTTCGACAAAACTGGAACGTTGACCGAGGACGGTCTGGACATGTGGGGCGTACTGACTGTTTCGGACAGAAAATTCCAGTTGCCAGTCAAAGACATTATTAGTCTGCCATTGTCCGAGGTTCTTATCGGGATGGTTACGTGCCACGGAATCACTATAATCGATAATCAACTGGTAGGAGATCCGCTCGATCTGAAAATGTTTGAATCTACCGGATGGTCGCTGGAGGAACCCGACGTATCCGATACATCCAAGTTCTCCATGCTCTTCCCGACGATCGTCAAACCAGCGAAGGGTTCAAAGCTTCTCAAAAGATTGCCAAGTGATTTAGGCGGTACACTCAGTCGGCAAAACTCCGTGTCTTCCGATGTGGTCGATGCTATCTCCCTCACCAATCTTCACGACGCTAAATTCAGTGATTCTACCACAGAACTTGGCGAGCAGGGATTAGAGGTGGGCATCGTTCGGCAGTTTCCCTTCACATCCAGTCTTCAGAGGATGAGCGTAATTACCAGGACACTGGGCGCTAATCATTATGATCTTTATTGCAAAGGCAGTCCGGAGATGATTCTTAGTCTCTCGAAAGCAGAATCTAGTGAGTCTTCATGATTATACTTGTTTTATTCTATGTGTTTTAATTTTGCAATAAATGACATTTTTTTTGTTCTCTTTTTTTGCAGTTCCTCCGGATTTTACGGCTGTTTTGCAGGAATACACATCCGAAGGTTATCGAGTTATTGCCATCGCGCATAAATCTCTAAACCGTCTTCCATACGCCAAAGTGCAACGTATAAATCGCGAGGCTGCCGAGAGCGATTTGACCTTCCTTGCGCTTATAATTATGGAGAACCGATTAAAACCAGAGACCTCGCCAGTAATCGCCGAGCTGAATACTGCCTGTATCAAAACAGTTATGGTGACGGGCGACAATATATTGACCGCCCTCTCAGTAGCCAGGGATTGCGATATAGTGAAACCAGGCACGCCGGTAATCGCTGTCTTAACCATCCAGCAAAATCTGTTGAAACCACAAATTTATTTCACGAAAAGTGATAGTCAACCACCGCCGATGTCGCCGAATGGTCAGGGCGATCTTAGCGAGATGACTGATCTGAACAGCGTGGTTAGCTTGGAAACCGTCGAAAGCGGCTCTTTCGGCAACACTAAACTGGAGAACGATATAAATTATCTCTCAGACGAGTGAGTATCTCTTTTTTCTAGTTTTGCAAATTTATTACAATAAGAAGATAATATCATAGATATTTTTACGAGAGCAGTAAAAATTAAAACGTCTAGTAAAATGTTAAAGTATATCTATTTTATGAGAAAAAAATATTACAATAGATGTTATATGTAGTTAACCGACTATATTTATTTTTTCGCTGTAATGTTAGCACGTCTCGAATGTTTGATTATTTGTTTGTCTGACCTGATTTGCTTACTTTAATAAATCTCGATGTGTTGCTCGACCTAATAATAATCGCGATCGATAATATTATATTTCTTTTTTTATCCATAGCCGTTTGCTTCAAATAAATCCCTACAATATATTTAACATACATGAAAAAATATGCAAAATATACAACAAAAATTTAAATTATATTTTATGAGAGCTATATTTATTCCTTTATATTAAAAATATATATACTATGTAAAATCTAATTTATATTATTCATGTTATAATATATAGTTTCATATACATATACTCATATATTTATGATTAAGTATATTGTTAAATTCTATTATATTATTATATTATTTTATATAATATTATATATTTTTTATATTATTCTATTTTATATATAAATATGTTTGCTAAATTGCAGAGTACAATATTCTAAGAACAAGTATGTGTTTGCGTTGACGGGAAAAACGTGGGCTTTGATAAGGCAGTACTATCCGGAACTGATACCCAAAATAGTTACCCGTGGTGCCATATTCGCCAGAATGTCACCTGACCAGAAACAACAACTCGTTCAAGAATTACAATCCTTGGGCTACTACGTTGGTAAGTGCAAACATACAACATATTTTTTTTTAAATACAATATACCTTTAAAATCAATAAATGCGATGAATCATGCTTAATCGATCTGACAGAAGATTTTCCCTTTTTGTACAGCTATGGTCGGGGACGGAGCTAATGACTGCGGCGCCTTAAAAGCGGCGCATACCGGAATCTCCTTGTCGGACACGGAATCTTCCGTCGCCTCGCCCTTTACCAGCCGCGAGACCAACATTTCCTGCGTTCTGACGGTGATACGCGAAGGTCGTGCCGCCCTAGTAACGTCCTTTGGCATCTTCAAGTACATGGCCGCCTACTCGCTCACACAATTTATCTCAGTGATGGTTCTCTACAGCATCGAGTCCAATCTAACCGACTTCGAATTCTTGTACATCGATCTCTTCATCATCTCGTTATTCGCTTTCTTCTTTGGTCGCACCGAGGCTTACGAGGGCCCGATGGTGAAAATGGCGCCGCTTAACAGCCTCATTAGCACGTCGCCGGTACTCAGTCTCATCACCCAGCTCTTAATCGTCGCGATCTTCCAGTACACGAGCTTCTGGCATCTACAGCAGATGTCTTGGTACGTGCCGTTCAATGTGACCGCATCTGAAAACAAGGACAATGTAGGCTGTTTGGAAAATTATACGATCTTCATCGTCAGTTCCATGCAATACATTATTCTGGCCATGGCGTTCTCCAAAGGACCACCGTATAGAAAATCGCTTTTCACCAACTACGGTCTCCTTACTTCCTTCGTTTTCCTAAGCCTATTTTCCATCTACGTCGCCATATGTCCCTTTCAGTGGCTGATTAATTTATTCGAGCTTGTGCTGCCTAACGATCTGAACTTCCGATTCATTCTGGTCGGTTACGGCGTGATGAATTTTGTGATCGCGATCTTAGTCGAGTATCTCTTTGTGGAATACCTTGTGTTCGGCAAGTTGCGCTACCGTTGGCACGATGTAGATAAATCACGGCGGAAGTTCCTGGCGATCGAGCGCGATATGGCGCGCGACCTCAAGTGGCCGCCGATCTCTCAGGAGCCGTTACCGGAAGCTGCACCGAATGTGCTGATCCGGCAGAACGTCACCGAGATTAAGATTGAAAAACGGATTACCGAACCGTGCCTTCCCGGAGATACCAGCTTCATGAACAGCTCGCCGCCGATCTGCGCCAGCTTCAAACATTTTGGTTCCGCCCGCGAAGTCACTCTCAATCCACGATCTCTCTTCGACGACTGCCGAAACACGGTATCGATGCAAACGGTGCCATGCTTCGAGGACAAGGACTCGTCGCCAAGGCCATCAAACACGGAATCCATCACGAAACGACGGCACAACTCGGAATCGGAGAACGGCATCAATCGTTACGAGAAGCCCTACATGACTCACAACACCAATCCAATTGCCACGCTTCCCCGAAATCCTAACACGACGCTTCAGCCACAGAAGTTGAGAGACTTCAAGGACGTCCTGGTGCACCAGAGCGACGATCGAGTGTCGCCCAACACTCAAAGCGTACTCGAATTGGATATTCTGCCGTCCTGAGAACCGAAGCATTCGAAAGACCGTTCAAGAGGTAGTTGAGTACTGATAAAACGGCTAATTGATGCAGAGTATTATTTTTACGCATATATTCTTCGCGATGTATAGCGTAATCTCCATTGCCGATTGATGTATTTAGGGTATCACAGCTTGATAATTGTGATTGAGAAGAATATCACATAAATTGACAAGCCTGATCCAGCGGCACCTTTGTGAGATTTGGATACCGGAATTGCAATTTACATCCTCGTTAAGCTCTCTTTCTGTCCGGTGCTCGTGATATACAGAACGCGTATTTGATATCGATCACGATATATTGTTAACGATTAGTAGACGCTCAGCTCGATTTCCGTCATTGATCGGGCGAATTCTGAATTGATGCATTTAGTCTGTCGGTATCCATAATTAGGATAATTAACAACGTTACTTAAGTCACGTGAGTGATACGAATAAGCCGAATGTTAGAATAGCATTAAAGCTGTTTGCTCATTGTCGATCTCTAAGCTAATTAATTGGATTCGTCTCATTATTCTCTTTCCTCTCTATGGAGAGTCTTTCTTTTAGAAGTAATTAATATTTAATGTGTAATTTATATATTATATAAGCATTTTATAACTTCCTAACCATTCTAGCTTCGGCTTATTTATATTTATCAAACTCAAAGGGTCCCTTTTGACCCAGCTCTCCTTTGTCCTCGTCCTCCCCTTCATTAGTATTCGAGAGGGCAAACTCTCGAGAAAGTATTATTCTTATTTATATTAGAAAAAAATTTAGCGAGAATTATATATATTGGTTCCGCGAAACCAAGATTTCTCTTGTGACAGAGCACAGCTATTTATATTTCAAGGACACACGTAGATAATTATAATAGAACAATGTTTATCATAGGATTTTAGAGCAATGCGAGAATTTTGAATGCAACTCGACGTAATGATGTCCTTTTCTTTCACTTGTAATTCGAACGAATACTTAAGCGAGAATTCGCGACTTAATCCATCATATTGTGTATAGCTAGGATGAAAATTTAGCCTGGAGCCGCTATTCTCCCCGAACATTGTGACACGTTTCTTAATGCATTTTTCTTCAAAATTTTTAGTCATTAATATTCATGTTTCTTTCAAAGCAACATGAGCATTGATCAATTATAGCGTGTGTATGTACACTCCTTTTGCATTTTACGGAACAATGAAATTCGACAGGCAATGACGAATAATGATGTGACTTATGATAAAAATTAATTGTTGCTGTTATTATGTTCAATATAATAACAACAACAATTGTTATTGTTATCGTTCATTAAAATTTAAAAAATCATTCCACGACGATATTTGATTATTGAATAATATGTAATGATATATGTAGAAGATATGTAATGATGTGAAGGGATCAGAGGCTGCCGGAGAGTGCGTATTACGTATTAGATTTAATGATAGAATTATTTCTTGAATACTTTGCAATGTTAAAATAGGCCAAAGCGATACGGATAAGCTAGACGCATTATCAACGTCGGAGCTGACACGTATTGATTTTATTAAATATCCTGTCAAAGTAAATGTGTACTTATAAAATACGCGACGGAAATATAGATACTTAATGCGTAAACGCGTTGATTTCGCAACGCTGTTAGTTTGTGTTGAAAAGTAGCGGTTGTCAAATGAAATATGTTTTTAATGTAAATACTGTTTACTCTCATTTAGCTCTCTCTTTCATTTTCTCATTGTTACTCTTTATTTGTTGCGTAATATATATATATATATATATATATATATATATATATATATATAAATCAATATATTAAAAAAAATTTCAATTAATATAAAACAGTAATACCGTCAATTAAATCTATTACTTTGATTATATTAATAACGAATAATTATTACTATATATAATCAAAGTAACATAGATTTACAACGTTACCAAGTTGTTAATATTATATGTAATTATTACGCGATTAGTGCGTTAAAGTACATATATGTATATTAAAATTGATTGAAGATAAAATGCAATTATAATGCTATGATAGAGACTGGAAGAAAAAAATAATCAACTGATCGATAATGAAAGTCGAAAACAGAGTATTTATTAAGCGCAAATTCATACACGTATATCATACACGCTTAATTTACAATGCATTCACATCGATAAAATTACAACACACTTACGCCACCCACTTGTGTCAATAGAGATACTTATGTATAATATCGCGCAAAATTACCTTTGATAGAGAATATCGACTCTATTCGCGCTTTTCGGAACTATATTAAAAATTCGCAACTCGCTTCTTAAACTCTGCGCGAAATTAGATTTCATATTTAAATAATTTTTACATCCTTGTAAAGTAAAATGGCTATAATTTCATTAGGCATATAATTCTTTTTCAAAAATTCGTTTAAATTATCTTTCCGTGAAATGTCTCTCTCTTTACGTCGCATCACGGTTTTTAAAGCACGATCGTAAATTCCATCCTTCGAACATGAAGAACACTCGAACCTTGTGTCATGCAAAGTCCGCGGCTCAGCGAAGATATATTCTCAGGACCCTCCTGAGGATAATTCTCCTCGGGCGCGTTACGAGTTTATGACGTACGTGATCCAATCGACAGTCTTGGTCACGCGATGATAGATCCCTGGTTGACCTGGCTGTGCGCAGGAGTAACCGGCGGAGACGATGCCGATGAGATACCACCGGCCAGTTTTCTCCAACATCAATGGGCCACCGCTGTCGCCCTGAAAAATTCAATGCGTCGCCCTCGCGGAATGATGAACGAGACAATGGGAAATGACGATTTATCGTTCAAACAATACGCACCCACGATGACGAAATCGCTTACCTGACACGAGTCCTTACCGCCGCCGCGATAACCTGCGCACATCATCTCGTCATAAATAACGACGTTGATACCATTGGATCGATGCCATCGCTCGCAGAGGCGATTGTCGATCACGGGCACGTCCACCGCCTGCAGCGTTTTGGGTCGCAATCTGGAACCTAAGCGAAATAATTCGTGAAAATCAACAACCAACGAGAATAACTAATTAATAAAATTATTATTCATTTAAATGCGTAATACTTAATATTTTACTTTTTTCTCTCTCGAAAGATACATAATTAAATAATTAGATATAAAAGATAACAGCGAAAAATCCGCGATTTTACAATTACATTACCGGATATATAAAATCAATAATTTTAATAATTTTATAATTATTAATGACGAATAATTTTTCTAGTCACCTGCTTGCAACGCGCCCCATCCAGCAGCCCAGCCATATTGTCCCAAGAAATCTTCATTTTTCTCTGGTAAACATATAGGCGCTATATGGGGCATATAATGAACTGGTCGGTCCAATCGAAGCACCGCCACATCGAATCTAATAAATAATCAAATATAGAAGATGTAAACGAGGGTAAGAGAATCGATAAAATTTATTACAAAATTGCAACATTCGATATAGACATCCAGTGTGTTTCTAATAAATTAACGATACCATAAACGCACCTATCCGCTTGCGGCGTGAACTTGAAGTAAGGGTGCACTCTAATCTCTCGAACCCCAAAAGTATAAGCTGGAAGAGACTCACTCGCAGAATTAACCACGTAATCACCCAGAGTTACTTGAACTTGCCGAGCCGACGCTCTAAAGAATTTATTTGATTATCTTTTTTATATTTTATGTTTTATTTATTTTATAATTATAGTATTTATTAATATACAGAACTTTTTCAATACCATTTTATGTATTATGATACTTTTTAAATATCAAATTTAATATTAAAAATATTACTATCATAAAAATATTTTTTTAACTTGTGAGACAAGTCACAAACGCGACTGCAATTAATCAATTTAATTAATAATTTATGTAACACATTATATACAGCATACATTATTTTTCACTCACTTCGCAACGCAGTGCCCAGCTGTGACAACGTGAAACCGATTGACCAGAGTGCCGCCGCATCTGCTGGATCCAATTCGTATATAAGCCTGTCAAAGCGAGAAATGATGATTTCAATGACAAAGTTCAATGTATTCGAACAAATGTTACATGTGATTGCCGTGTCTGACCTGCCACGGAAAACTGCCGAAACCGGCGTCGTCACCACCGACGATTCTTCTCTGCGCAATTTGCTTCGAAACGACTGGTATTCCGCAACCTGCAAAACGTAATTACTTGGAAAATTGCGAGTAATTATGGCATCTTTATAGTTATAACGCCGTATCAAATTTAATTATTGTTCACGACGAATTACGTCAGAGTTACCAGCTTTTTCGAAGAGATGGGAATTGAGCATAAACTCCCATAGAAATATTTAGTAAGTATAGTCATATTATATAACATTTATAATAGTCGCGCGAAAAAAGATATCCAGATACCTTTTGCAAGAAGTATAAAACGCTAAAAATCCTTCGGTAGAAATGTTTGGCAATTCCAATTATGCCGTAATCTGTGACTACAATAACGCGCAATGACGCTTATAAACGCAGTTCCATTGCAATCAACGCTTTTAGAGCCGAATTGCATCGTGAAGTTGAAAACGTGAAGTAATCGACAGTGACAAAAATATTTCTTTCCCGTTTTCTTGTATCACCGAAATTGGACTTGGAGTAATATAACGACTTAATTTTAATTAATACGACGTCTCTTCCATCCGATTTCAATGTGTTGGCCTCAACTTCTGCATTGCGTATATATAATCGCAGTAATTTAATGGTAACTCGATCATCCAGTCTTTCTCAAATATCGACAGACGAAAAAATTATTCGAGATTATTTGTACATACACGTATTAGCCACTGAGTCAAAGCTGCCGATGAAAAAATCTCGAGAAGAGAAGCAGCATAATTAATATACATAATGCATAAATAAAAACAACAGTTTATCTTTTAGTTAGCAAATTCATGCGCTTATTAGTGCATCGCCTTCTAACAGAATAAAAGCATTCGTGTGCAAAAAACGGAGTTATTGCGAATGCAACGAAGCGTTTCATCGCCATGAATATCATGAAAAAGAAACGGAGACTGCAGATCGCCAAAGTTTTGCGAAATGTCATATAAAAAATGTTTCAAGAAAATTGATCCATCGACGAGCATAATTATTATAATTTTTAATACATAATACTATGTTTAATACATCTGTCTTATTTTCTATCGGTTTTAACCTAAGCCAGTCCTTTGTAAAACTTATAATTTTTATTACGTAGAGATTTCCTTTTATCATAGTTCGTAAAAAATTATACCACTTCTTCACGTTTAAGAGAACATCTTATTTGGCTGTTTTTATTTTTGCAGCGAAAACTATAAAAGGATTGAGATTGAGGAAACTGGCGTTTGTCAACATGCATTTATGGGAATTTCAACGGATATATATTGTGCAGAGAGACACAATATTATATTACAATATCAATAAAAAATTATCTTCGGGCAAGCATGCATAGAAAGATAGAAATTTTTACAAATTTATTTAACATGCTTTGAAAATGAAGAAAAATAAAGTAACAAAAAATATATAAAGAAGAAAGAATGATTGAAAATTGAAAGAAGGATTTATCATATTTAAGATGATGAAATATGTAGAAGATATCCGGCGAGGAAACTATGCAATTTTTGGGAGATGAAATTGGTTTGAGGAAAGAAATGACATGCTTGGAGTACATGCAAGTGCGCGGAATTGCAAAATAGTTGAGCTAAGAAGAAGAATAACAAAGAGCTGACAAAAAAGACGAGAGCAAGAAAAGAAGGAGGAAATATCGAAGAGATAGGGAAAGAAGAATTCATGCTTGCAAGTGCGGTGCCAGTGCATGGAAAGCATGCTTTTTCGAAGGAAGGACTTACGATCGTCGCTGTCGGTCTCCGTGTACAAATCCAGCGGAAGTGGCCGGGATTGATCTCTAGGTGACTCGATCAGGTTATTATCAGTGAGGGCTTTAGGATTTTCTTTCCGCTGACAACACGCGAACATAATTCCGCCGCAGCTGCCGTCCAATAGGCCAGCAGACATCCAGCACATTAGAAAAAATTCGCAGCTCCGTCCGTCCGCGCACAATGTATCGTCGCCTTTCCACAGCGGTCTTTTTTGTTGGCGCGTCTCTGCAGAGAAAATATGGAAACTCTTTGTCTTTCGCGACTGTCAAGTTACGTAATTGTCCCGCGCAACTGTCAAGCTATCAGAGCGCGGTCGCGCTTCCGGTCCAGCCGAAGAGAAAGAAGACTAAGCGACTATCGTCATCGTGGTTATTAATCTAAATAGCGATCTGCATGACTATTAAGGACTAAAATCAAGAGAGCGCTTTCGACGTGGAATGCGAATTTTTAATGCGATTTCTCCTCAATCAAGGTACCTATATAAACTATTATAAACTATTGCAATTATTATTGTCAGTCATTTAAAGTTTTTTACTGCTACATATTAATATACATATGTCGAATAAAACAAATAATCCTGATACGTTTTTATTTGTCAATTTGTGCGACTTTTAGAAAATGCAAAAATTTCCTATCAATCTTACGATGTCCCGATTGTCAATCATTATCAATCAAAGGAAACGCGAACCGTCATTTTTATTCTGCCAATTACTCCAAGTCTAACTTCGAAATATAAAACGATCGCAAAGATCAGAATCGACTTAAAGCTAATATAATTACATATAATTACAATATTATAATAAAATAATTATTAAATCTTTTAAAATTATAATATAAATATTTGTAAATTAAATATTATTTATTCTTCATTAAATCTTAAGTGAAACAATATGTAAATATATTTCTGTATTAACAAGATATGTGCAGCTTGAATAATTTTTACAATGGATTAGATGACATTTATAATCTGTGTAATTAAAGTCATCACAAAGTGATAATGTGAAAATATTATAAATAATTATATCTCGTATAAGACCTGGTTAAAATAAAACACGGCAAATAGTTAACCTACGTTGAAATCTATCACGACAGGAATATCCGCAATCGATATAAAAAAAATATAGACGCGATGAGACGATCGCTTTTTCCCGACGAAAATGAGCTCCCCATAGAAAGATGGATTTGGGCAAATTGTAAAAGAGTCCCTCGGTATCAATCCAACATTACGTTGATTTATCATCCCGCGATAAAGATGTAGTAATTTCTGTACTTCAGACCACGACGGAAGTTGCAGATTACAATGGAAACAAGTCTTGCGCGCCATCGCGAGTTGCGTGATTTTTATGAATGTGCAAGAGGCAGAGAGATTGAAGAGAACCAAGCAGAGATCGCGAATTTGAAAAAAATCGAAAGTTCCCTGTGAAGCGACGTTGTTAAGGCTGACTATCGATTCCCTGATTCTGCGTGTGCCAGCGTGTGAATATTAATACGTACCTGTTTCCAATCTGGGGTAATCTTCCGCCGTTTGCTTTCGGTGATCTGAAATAAAGATGAGATGTTTTTCTGGGAAGATGACGCCTAACGTCGTATCCAAGGAAAAAAAAACAATTTACTGTATAAGCTCATGTGTAATATCAATAAAAAAATTAGAACAATTTTTATATTTTAACTTATTAAAGAAGCTTAACAACCTTATTATTAAAGAAGACTGCAAAAAGACTGCATTATTAATTAAAAATTAATAAAAAATAAAGAATATTAAAATACGAGAATTAATAAATAGCATTCTCATAGAAAGTAAGTACTGCTTGATATTTTTTAAATACCATTGCTATTTACTTGGACAAATTGATTGTTGAAATTTGTTGCGTAAAAATTACGTAGGTATCTCACGACTCACGAGCACTTATGAGCGTGAGTTATTTGATCGGATCGTACGTGGTTTGCAATTAAAATGCTTTGAAAGTATCATACGACACGTCATTTACATTTGCACGCTCTTCTAAGCATTCTTCTCGATAAAGCGGTATTTGCACAACAAAGTAGTTTACAGAAGCGACAGAATTATGCAAACGCGCAAAAATAAAGATGAAAGTAAAAGGGAAAAGTGCTTATTAGACACTTGAAAGAAAAATGTGCAGCAGTAAACACGGGTCTATATCGTTCTATTAAACGGTGCAGCCTACAGTTTCTAATATCGCAGGAAAATGTATATTTGATGATGACTCTGAATCGCTTAAATATTAGAGAAATTGTAAGATTACTATTCTATAATTCACCAAGAAGATTAACAATAAGAAGAGCTAGGATCTGTGCAGTTTTCAATGCAACAATTCATATACTGAAAATTGCAACATGACACAAGAATAATGAGAAGCTATAATTAAGAGTCAATTTAAACACACAATATTAAATGTGGATTTCAAGCGAATAAGACAATAAGAATAAAACTGGAACGATTAAAGAACTTATATATTGCATAACACATAATCACATATATAATTGAAACGAGGAAAAAGAGAAAAGGCTCTTACCTCTGACATCATCCTCAAATTCCGGCAACTGATTAGATTGCTGGAAGAAGGAGGCTCCACCGCCTCCAATCGGCGGTAGGAAGTCGTTGTCGCGGAATATCAATCTTGGCGTCCGATGGGACATCACCGGTCTGTTGTAATCGGCGATTACGGGGCTCCTCCAAAGGGACTTTTGCTGCCTCCACGTGCTAGGTAACGGGGGAGCGTAACGCGCGATCGGCCCCAGGTTTTTGCCGAGCGAGGGTGGACCGCCACCGAAGTCGGCGAGATAAGCAGCGGACCCCGTAGGAAATCGTACATATCTTCGTCGGCGAATCGCCGTTACTCCCTTGGTGCGATTCGTCTCGTCTCTTTGCACGTCGATGGCCAAGGGATCCAAATTCGCGAGCTGCCGCGTCTCGCTCACCATCAAGCTCGAGGAGAGACTCAGGATGACCGCAGCGAAAAGCCAATGACACGGCCTCGATACACCCATCGTTTTTCTAAGAAAAAATTAGAAATTAATTATGCGAAATAATCCCGTGTAGATGTAGTAACACATATTTTACATTAGACATTTTACGTATCGCGTAAGGTGAGAAACGTGAGCTTATACGAACGTGATCTTATCATACGATAATATTCTTGAAGATCCTAGATAATGTTAGTACTCTCGATTCAGAGCGATTTTCTCCTCGAGTCGGAGTTTCACGAGTCGTTAATCATCATCGAGCGCTATTAAAGCGCCCGATTCTCAGCGAAAGGAAATACGCATCGCTCGGACTCGTAACCAGGTGGAATCGTTAAGGATTCTGGTTCGAAGAATGCCACGTTACTCGTACCGACAATTATCGGTAGCGGTTTCGCGGCGATTCGAAGAACTTTCTTTTGGCACGAACCATTCGTGAGCGTTGCTTCTGTACGTAAAAACGATGAGAATGATATAAAAATAAGTTATGCAGATGGAAAACAGAAAGAAGAATAAAATGCGAGAAATTTCAAAATTCTTTCTAATCAAATTTTCTTGAAATTAATTATCGAAATATTTCTTTTATATATAATTATCCTTTTTGATATTTCCTTAACTTTTATTTAAAATTTGTATAATTACTTGAGATATGCGTCAATATATTGCTCTATAGAACAATTTATCATTTCAAATTTAGATTCTATTATTTATTATTATACATGATTCTATTATTATCCAGAATTTTATTATTTATGATTGAGAGAGAGTTTGCGTGAGTGGATAGAGAAAGACTGCTGTATAAGGTAACGCTTAGAGTCAAACGAAGCAAAGTGGAGAACAACTTCGTCTTGGATTCCTCTCGACACGACAAGACAAAATCCAGTTTGCGTCACAATCCTTCGTAACGAGTGAAAGTAAAGAAGTTCACCCGGAACCAAACATCGAGACATCTATACTCGAGAGAAGATTCACTATAAGCATCCATCAACGGTTCTGTTGAACAAAATTATTACCTATCAATAACATTAGCGAGAGAAAACGAAGTTTTGCCAACCGCAAAACTTTAATAAGAATTTCTCATTTATTAGCATTTCTAAGGCATCTGAAAAGTCTGTAAGTCTAATATTTTAATCGCTTATAATTCAATTAATATTAATAATAAAAAATAAAATTCAGATTCATTAATTAATCTATAATTTTTTATTATAAGAAAAAAATATGAGAGGATCCTTTACGTCTAATTTTTTTTCAGAAGCTAAGTTTCTAAGGCCTACAGGGCACATGCGAAATAGGCGTATCCGATTGACGTTGATTGATCGTTACCTCATATTCGTCTAGACAAATGGGGCGGGAAATGTCAAAAAGAAAAAAGAAAGAAAAGGGAGAGGGATATAATTGTTCGTTGAATAATATCTGATGGACGGCCTTGTCGAGCCACTATCAATCGCGGCGGCGCTTGGTGAACGGTTCGATGTGTTAGTAGGTCATTGGCTCCCCGTCACGTGGATCCACCAGAAGTGAAAGTGTGTACTTCTTGCGTGCACAGTGTGAAGTTCACGTTCACGAGGTGCCACCCGCCGACCCGCCACGACGGAAGTCTTACAAATCGCTGCTTGCATCGTGTTCTCGGTAAGTCTCCATTTGTGCCTTTTGTTTGTCTCCTCCTCTATTTATATCCCTTTTGTACCCTATACAAATGTTCGTCGTCGCAAAATGAGAATTTATCGCGCACGCGATGAATTTCACCGTGAAAGTGTTCGATTATTGTAACGCGCGCGCTATCGCTTCTACTCCGATCTTTATAAACGCTCGATTGCGATTTCTGATGAGTCTCGTCTTTTTTTTTCTTTCCCCTTTCGTTTCCCCGCGAAATGCAGGCAACGAAACGCGGTGATTTTTTTTTTAAATTTTCGGCTCCATCGAGCGTATCTTCGCGTGTTAAATTGTGAAATCAAACTATAATGTCCGTCACGCATACATAGCAATATATACGATATACATACAAAGAGATATTTCAGTTATAATCTAACTGCAACTTTTTCAAAAGTTGATAGTCCAGTCTTCAATTTCGAATAGAAAATTAAAGATACGACAATTGGCTCTGTAATAGTTTATCGAGTCGTAAAAATTCTGAATTCAGACCTTGGACCAGCTGGAGACGTCGCCGTTTCCAGCTGTCAGTGAAAGCTCGCGCACGTGCAAGCACCCACATGGAGCGATCCCCCGGATCGGATACCTTTTTCCTCTCTCGTACTCCGGTGAGATCTCGAATTCCGCGTGAATCGACATTATAAGAACGAGAGGGGAAACGGCCCATCACTTTCTCCAGACGCCACGCGCAAGCATTACTTTCGCCCAAACTTCCGAAGGATAGTCGTCCTCGTGCGTTCCGCTACGAATGGGCCACAATTTTCCCTCGATGCATATCGCGTGTGTATTACCCTAATAGCTAACAATGACAATGGGAATCGGCCAAGCGTCACGAAGAAAAGCTCGGCACGCGCCACCGAGCCACGACGATAATGTCGATGATAATAGAAATATTTATGTGCATGCACGCGCGGTTTAAATTATATAATGTACATCTAAATAATACGTATATATCTCGTCGTCGAACAAAATAAAGCACTATTACATCGTACGCGCGTTATTAAACATACCGTATCTACTTAACCGGACGTGGCTAATGTTCCGTATAATATAAGGATAATCCTACGACCGGTATCGATATATCGCAGATTTTAAAATTGCATGCTGTACATATGTATATGTGTGTAATAACATTTATATTATATACATACTATAATATTGTAATGTCATGTATGATATATATATAATATATAATTTGACATAATAAGTGAGATCTTGTGCTAATGACAGAAATAAAGTATAATGATAGCGTGGCAATTTATATTTACGTTTCATTTGTACCACTTTATACTTATCACATTTTACTAATCATTAAGATAACAGTTAAATAACTCCTTTCTTTGCATGCTTCTTTACCAAGAACTTGAAACCACATAAATTTATCAGACTGTTCAACTTCATATCGAATAGAACGGAAGAGAGCTCTTTACCTTTCAATTATCAAATTCGCTGACGTAATCGCACCGGATATAACGAACGTGACAATTTTGGAGGACAACTTCTACTTCTCGCGTATAAAAACTTGAATAGATTCATCAACATTCAAAATTCGTCTTTGTATAATATATGGATTTCGAAAACCCATTCGTGCGCGTTTTGTTTCGAAATATAAAAACTGGTTTCTTCACCGAAGAAATCTTGGCGTTGTAGCGACTGATCTTATTCATGGCCTTGAAAGGAGTAAGCATTTTCGCGGTCTAATTCACCGATATCTTTCGTGACGAACACTTTCCATTGTGTAATGAATCTTTTCTCGCTGGCCGCTTGGTTTCTCGTCCGTTTCCGAAGATGATGAATGTGCAGCAGCAACGCGAGCAAACGCTTTTCAGCACTGACAATGAGTAATGTAAAAAGTATAAAAATCCCGCAAAAGAGATATATTTCTATCGATCACTTCTTACGGAATTGCAGAGCGCATCAGCTCAACTATCGCGCCTTATCTCGAATTTACAATGAATTTAAATAACCCGAGTTAAAAGCCTACTCGTGTAGCGACTCTTCGAGTTCCACGTTTCTCTTCAGGCCTCTATCGAATTCCGTTACGTAAACCACAGGGAGTGTTTGGGCAACGCGTGTACAACGGTACCGAAGCGTGCATCCTCGATGCGCTGTCGCGAGCGTTTCGTTTTGAGAAAGAACGGAAGTACTTTCACTGTCTACGAGGATGGCAACTTAAAAAATAAAAGAGCCTTCTACTCAAAAGCGACACTATGCCACGTGACGCAAAAGTTCGCGTTTTAAGCCGGCGATCTTACGAAACCGTGTCCTCCTTTCAAGGGAAGGAACTAGCGGTGGTATAGGATTTTTTTCCATTAAAATTATATCAAAAAATAAGATCGCACTTCTCTTTCTTGGCTCTATCTGAGATTTTTAAAGAGCACATCTTTTAGTCTTTCACTATTTTCTCGTAACATATATTTCGTTAACATAAATTTCTATTTGTATAAATTTTTCATAAAGTGAGAGTTTTTAAGGTGAAACTTTCCTATATAATAGTTGCATCAAATTTCTTTGAAATAAAAAAACACTTACAACTGTGATTTTCACAGTCACGCGATCACGTATTATTATTATCATTTATTATTAATTACAAAAAAATGCTCTAATTAAAACTAAGGAATACGTAAGTGCAAATTATCTAAGATTGATATTGAAATACTTTTTCTTTTCTATTACCATATAACTCTTCTATTACCATATAAGAATTTATAAACGAGAAATTACATTAATAAGCATATTATTAGACTTAATTAACATTGAATAAAAAATCCAGATCAAGAGCGAATGTGACATCGATCATCTCCATACATCAAAATTACCGCGCATCGGTTTGCGTTTTTTTCGCTTAACATACTTTTTATACGTAAGAGACGGCTGATAGCCTCTCTTTGGAAAGATAGTTGCTCTCCACGAAGGCGATCTTGCTTTCTCTCTGCTTTTAATAATAACTGCCGCGTTTAATCAGACATTAAGTTTAACGAAACGAAACCGAGCGTACCGTTCTAATTCATCGCGTCGATTTCGATAGTAAATCTAATAAAAATTCAATCTCGCTGTTTTAATTCTTTGTGCACACGATTTATCGTTTGTACAATCAAACACACGGGATGCTACCTGGGAGAAAGTTTTCCTTTTCAAAGCTGAACCGATCACTTTTTACGCACACCGATTTTTGCATTATTAAAAAAATACGAATCTCTCAAGATCGAGAGATAAATCCTTCAGTACACTGTGTCGAGAAGAAAGCACCAACTCTGTCATTTTGTAATAATGAACTATGTATACGTATATGAATAACCTGATTATGAACCTCAAATTGCACATCTCATTATGGAAACGTAACAATCTCTTCTCTCACAAATTGCTTTCTCTCGAGTAAAATTAACAATATTCAATGTAGTTTTAAATCTTTTTTTTCGTAGTACATATCAGCTACTACTAATCAGAGTCTGTGCTCTTATCTACTTCCATCTTACTTATAGAAACCAGTCGCAGATTTCTCGCGCATTCTTTTGTTTTAGCGTAATAAGATTAGAAAATAGAAAACGCGCGGGAAATAAAATGGACTAGTATTTGCCGATTTACAAGAGAGAAGGATAGATAAATCAGCGTGAGACTGCACTCACCGATTCACGAGACGTGACCTTCCCGGATTTCTCCTCGACTAATCGAACCAATGCGAACGATTTCTCGGGGGAAATTCGCCAGGATGAAGTTACTTCCGCCACCCTCTCTTCTGCGACCTCTTCGTCTGCCTCGTCTGACCGAGGTAGTCCTCAGCACCATAACACAATCAAGGGTACCGTTGCGAAGAGTGGTTGTTCACCTGGTGTATCACTGCGAGATATGTTTCATCATTTTTGATCGATCGCGCCGATTCTCCCCGATTACGTCACCAAAAAATTCTTGGAGCACTCTCGCGACTTACATATCCTCCGGAATGACAAGAAAACTAAACACGACGACGTCACATATGTAATCGCTAGTTATCGCGATACACACGATAAAGTGTCCAACTGTCACTTGAGTGACTAACGAGGTCGCTGAAATTGCTTTAGAAATACCGCGACTTCGGCACCTACCAATCGCGGCTTCGAGGTTCCAGTGGTTCCACTCTTCTGAATCTTCAAGGTATCGTCGTCACACGAGTGTACACCTCTTTTTTTCACTGTCACTCATTTCCAATAGACTATTTCGAAATTTCTCAATTTCTTCTCGAGTTGAGATCTCGTCTGTGACTTCTTCCAGTTTCCTCCCAGTTTCGATCGAAGCGGTCCTCTCGCGGACCCGAACGACCCGGTGTTCGGCTACCACGCGGTGGCGGAGCTCCGCATGTCTATCCTCTCTTCTTGAGGAGTCCCGAAGAACGGCCTGCTTGCTCGCGCCGTCGTCGGTGTCCGCCGGCACCGCTACGTCTGCTCTCACTTTCTCCGCGAGTAGTTTCATTTCGGCACATAAAACTCTCTCGCGTTGTCCCCCACCAGGTTTGCGTACGAGGCGACAGTCCGAACCAGCCACCACTCCAGGATGAAGTCCTAACCGGCATCCGCATATGGAGAACCCGGGATTGTCCTTTGACGATCTCTCGTCTTCTCCTTCTCCTATTTTTTTCACTCACCTTCGACTTCGCCGACCTTCCGTAACACTCGATTTCCAGTGGGGATGGGAATTTCCAGGAAGGATATTTGCTCAATTTTCAGTATTTATTTTTTGTTAATATTGGACTTTTCTTTTATTGAATGAGTTACTGAATAAATACCAACACACTTATTTATTATCTTTGGTACTGAATTATTATTGTGAATATAATAGTTTTTCAAGAATGAGTATGCAAAGAACAACTGTTCATATGAAATAGATACAGAAAAACTAAACTTGAATGAAATGAAAAGACAATGCACACAACACCAACAAAAGGTAAAACAAAGCATGCGCGTAACAGCAAAGCTGTTAAGAAATAATGCGGCATAATACAAAACTTAGCATATAATGACCTAAATACTCTATTTCTAACGGTTAATAATAAATGCTATTAATTAACAATTTTACAACTTCTCCATGTTAGTAATGGCAATATAATATTTATAATATTACTAATATATATACATATATGTATGTGTTTGATTAAAGCATTAGAGATGAATAGATGACATAATAAAGCAGCGTGTTTATATTACAATTATTTTGATGTTAAAAAAAATTACATTTTTTTTGATAATTTATTTCAGAAGATGAACTCTATAGTATCGTTCCATCGAAACTCATGATGGAATACCTAATCTCTCGTTGGCATTGTTCCTTTGTTCATTAATGACTTCCACGGGATGAACGAGATACAAGTACCCAATTTCGTTGTCATGCTAGAAAGTTTTACAGACACCTAACATCTCTCTATTTTATTAATCGAGGTGAGATTTCGCCCGCGTATTCCAAAAAGCGCGAATGAAAGTACTCCGCAAATTATATATAAAATTTTTTTTATAATTATAGAATATAAGTTTCGCGTGATTTCAACGATCAAAGCATCTGTATTCTGCAAAATTAACCAGACGGTAAAAGTTCAACATAGAAGAACAAAAGTAAAATCTTTCGACAGCAAATATAAAAAATTAAAAGACCGAAGAAGCGCATTTCAAATTCGTACGTTTTTATTTTGCTCGGCTGCTGTAAACATTTAGGAAGTAGTTGAGATAATCAACTGCAGTCGTGCTGAAAATGAGTGCATTGTTTTGTTTGAGAAGGAGCACGAAGAAAGAAAACTTTCTTGAATTTTGTGACAAAACTTTTCGACAAAGATTTCTCACTTTTACTGTATATGTATTTTTGGCCAGTGTACTTTTTGCTTTACTTTCTTCTGATCTGCACAATCATTAATTAAAATATTCAGATCGATTAAATATATATATATGCATTTGTGCAGCCGGGCTAACGCCACTTAAATCTTAAGTTGAACCGTATTTGGCGCTACGACTCAAGATCGGTGGATCCTCAGCTCGTTAGACGAATAATTCGGCCCGTTCAAGGAAAGAAGGCTGCGTTTTTTATTCGGGGCACTCTCGTTTTTGCAAATTTATGATCGTATCCGTGACCATCAGGAAATCGTTGCGCCGTGAATTATTATTTAAGCGTCGGTGAAAGTCGGTGACAAGTTGAAGTGAGATGGGACAATCGCAATAATAATAAGATTACTTTTCGGCGTAAAGCTATATAAATGTGCCACTTTCGTGCGTTGAATACTAAGAACGAAAGATTGTCCTGTCATCTTTGCGATGGCGAATGATTGGCGAATGATGACGAGCCATCCTGATCGCCTTCGAGATCAGCTCTGCCGATCGTCATGAAATTCTTTCGCACTGATGACGCGAAAGAATTACAGTGCGATCTCGCAAGATCCGTCTCGATAATATGGTTGCAAGGATGTGAGATAAAAACGCGACAATTCACATTTTTAAGGTGCAACAAGTTATAATCTTGAAAAAAGAGCAACAGATGATATTTGATTATGATTCATCAATTCAGGTTGATTCATCAAATTCTGGGTAATTCCGGAATCCCAGCTGATCTTAAATAAAACAAATTGCGATAAACATCCGGTTGCGTGGGAGTGTTAAGAAAATAATTGTAGCAAATTATGAGTGACGTAGAATAAAAATTATTTACTAACAAAGGAGAATTATAAACATAAGCTGTTACGTGTTTATGTGTGCACTCTTCGAAAATTTATGCAGATTATATACTAGATGAAAACGAAAGTAGGCGACGTCACATACGTCATGTTCGATGCATGATTAACTCCTTTCTCCTCTTTAACACCTCTGAGCAGGATTTGCCGATTGTATATCCTGCTATCTCTTTACGTAAATGATCCGGTTGGCTACAGCCAAATTAAAAAACGCATCCACATTAGCGAGAGTATAACGCACGAATTATGCGAAATCAAATTCCAACGAGTTTCTTTTATACTTTTAATTAGAAATTGTATTCCAAACTTTATTCATTTAGTTTCTTTATTATAATATTAGATATCTCAATTAATTTTTAACGCTTAATGAAAATACGTAATTTTCCGCTTGCGCTTGTACTTTTACGAAGTGAATAATAATTAATGAGGCTTGTCAACAGCTATTAATTGCATGTATTAGAGAGAAAGATCGATGCTCAATTAAAATCGAAAGTGTCCACTGACGAGTTCCTCTAGTAGAGAGCCAGTATAAGAATGTTGCGATTAAAAATGCGACAAGATGTGCGAGAACTGGGTCGAAACTGAAGAACGCGATCGCGAGATCATCGATGTGTTTCTTTTATTCGTCTAGACGAGTCGCCTAGCACCTTTCCCTCCCTTTCTTCCCCCTGTCTAGAATCAACCAGGTGTAACTTTCTCCGTGAACTTCGAAAGTCTACTCGTATCCATCGCGGCTCGGCTACGCGAAATTACGTCTCTCATCCTCGGCCGGAAGTCGAAGAGTTTCTTCTTCTCTTCTTCAAATATCACTCTTTGTAATGTCCGTTATTTGCATCAATAAGTGATGTTTATTTCTACATTGGCGTGTGTTTAGAATCATTTAACAGTTAGCAAAGCGACTGCCATTAAATTATCGTCACTTTTTTTATTCCTCTCTGCCTTTAAACTCTCTCTTTCTAATAAAATTGAACAATTAAAATAAACTACTCTCACTTTATAGATGTTTTGGATATTTTGCAGATTGTACGTGCAATTAGTTACGACGAATCATTCGCACGCAATCCACAATAAAAATTCTAAACAAATCGTCAGTCATTTGTTTTCTTACGTCGCATGCAAATTTATGAATTAATATGGAAATATCGACACCACAAAAAAGAAAAGAAACGGGGTCATGCAACGTGTGTCGTTGCGTAACTCTACGGAGACCCAAGATGCCGAGATGCAATTAGGCGACGACGTTGCATTACGCAGTCTTTTGCGTACGCGAGACGTGTCCGCGCAACTATTGTGACGTGAATAGATAAATATGAACACGGAATGCGATAACTATGGCGCATATCGGAATGATATTAACCGGAGGGATGATTACGATTATGCAGATAGAGCATGAACGAAAGAATGACGTCGCACGATTGCAATCACGTCACTACACTGACGTACCAATGAATAAGGAATAAATCGCGTGAGGAAGTAATAAAAGCGTACATATATACTAAGCGATAATAAAGTATTTCCGTAAAATTTGCATCAGATTCCACAGAAGGAAAAATAACGAAATGCGGTCACATATCCTTTTTCCTTCTATTCATGACGGCAGGGTATATACATATACATATATATATATATATATATATATATATATATAAATAATAATAAATGTGGATACATCTGTGATATATGTTGTAACATTGTTTAAAATTAGCAAATGACAAAATCCCTTGCGCTATCAAATTATTTCTTGTTAACATATAATTATTTACGCTTGTTACGCGTCACATCATTGCAGAGATGAGTGTTGTGTTAAAGACGGAAATTAATATAATGACCAAATACTTAAAGATTCTAATTTCAAATAGATAATTTTAGATATAACAAAAGATGAAAATGTCGATTTATTATGTTTTCAATTTATTATTTATACTCATCACAATTTTGTTATTAACTAATAAGGATTTTTAATATTTAGAAATAAAGATTTTTATTATGTTAAAAAAGCAAACAATTATTTAAGTGGATTTTTTCAAATAAATGATTTAACATGATTTAACAAATTTTATCTTTAAAATGTGCAAAAAAATTAAGATTATGACATCATTATAGTTGATATTTTTCTTAGATAGATATTTTCAAAGAATTAAATTTGTGAAATAAAAATCTTCCTTATTGCAGAAATCGTGAAGCATTTTCAAGTACCTAGCTACGAATAATACGTGCAAGGCATACAAGTGACGTTAATTAGAGCAGTGCAAATCAGAGAATCTGTTCGTAATGTTTCTTGTAAAAAGAAAATGTGCAATTTTAAACAGATTCCTACTCATACTTGCTCCAATAATTTACAAAACATCATGTTTTCGGAAAATTATAAACGATGGTTTACACGCTAGGAACTTTGTAAAATATTACACGCAACGCTAAATGTAATGCTCAATAATTGTTTTTGTTATTAATGTGAATTAATTTTAATCCAATATACATTATTAATCTTTTAAATTTATTATTAATTTAAGTTTAATATTTTATTTCTATCTTAATTTTGTTTATTTTTATACTATGTAAGTGGTCATATAAATTGGTATTATTAAAAATATTTCTCACAGAATATGAAAAAATGTAAAATTTGCGAAAATGATGAAGACATGAAAAATTCTCTGGATATTACTAATCACCGCACCGACTTCCTCTCGCGACCCATATAGATCGGCTTGGAGAACATGCACGATGTTACAAATGTGCACGTATATTGGTACAAGTACACGCAAGTGTGTACATCTCTCTATGCGCGAAAGGGACTTTACTTTCTCAAGCACGCGACCGCCGTCACTCCATCGGCAACTCCTCTTACTTTCTCTCCCGCACGTTTTAAAAGTAGGTCCCAAATAGGATTAAACGATCTTTGAGAAGAGCCTCGATATGCTCGATACGCT